AATTTGAGTCCTTAATCAACTTTGTGTTACCATTTTTAAATGTCAGTATGCATTTTTAAAATTTCAGTATGTTTTCTATACATTATATAGAGAGAAATCTCCCATTCTTTTCTACTTTTTATCCTCTGAAATTGAGGATGCACCTTACAATTGATGGGCTACTAAGTTTTATTAAATATGGCAAATAAGGTAATGATTCTGGCTGGGCATGGTGGCACATGTCTGCAATCTCAGTACTTGGGAAGCTGAGGCAGAGGATTGTGAATTCAAAGCCACTGTGTGCTATGTAGAGAGACTCTGTATCAACAAACAAAACAAAGGAAAGAGTGTGATGGCATTTAGCTGTAATCCCAGCTACTCAGGAGGCTCGTGGTTTGAGGCCAGTGTAGGCAAAGTTAGTGTGAGACACTATCTGAAAAAAATAAATAAAAGCAAAAGTGCTGGGGGTGTGGCTCAAGTGGTAGAGCACTAGCTTTTTGAGGCCCTGAGCTCCATCCCCAGTACTGTCAAAAAGATACAAAGCAATGGTTTTGAATTTCTTGATACAGTATTATTAGCATTGCAAACTTTGTTAGTAGTTGCTTTAGGGTCTATAATATGTACTTTCAATTGGTCAGTCTTCCTTCAGCTAACATTCTACTGCTTTCCATGGAGGATGAGACTCTTATAACCATGTACTTTCATTTCTCTTTCCCAGTCTGAGCTGTTTTACTTATTAATCTAAAAACACTTTATCCTGTTTTTTCTTTCAACATAAACAGTAACTCTTTCTTTTTTGGCTTGATCAGTAAGCTTATTGTCTTTATCTGAAAAAAAAATCTTCAAAGAAAATGGTTTGGTTTAGCTCTTAGCAGCAGGTTCTTGCATCAGGTGACACATAGGATCTATAACATTCTGACTCAAGACATGCTTCTGATGCACTTGTGCCTTGAGCTCCGTGCTCTCAGGATCATGACCAGGGAATTGTTGATGGGACTGTGAAGGATAGACAAGTCCCATCTCAGTGTCCCAAAATCTTTATTTGTTGCCATTGTAGTTCTGGCAAGGCCTGCATCCAAGGAGCAAGTGAAGGCACTATGTTGACTGTCAGTGCTCCTTTCCACATTGTGTTCGTCTCTCATCACTGCCACATGGTCTTCATAGATCTTGTCCCTGCCAAGCCTACCGAGAAGCCTGCAGGCCAGCAGCAGACCAGAACAGTAGGCCGCAGCATGGTTTGTTATGCCAACTTTACTACTCTGTTGTGGTTCGTGTGCACGTGCCGCACAGTCAGTCATATCCCCTCCTGTATAGGCATAAGCCATGTGACACAGTGTCTGCATCGCTTATGAACTGCTGTCCGATGAGGGAAAAGCTACCACTTTAAGTACTTTTTTTTTCTTTTGTTTAACTACAGATTTTCATGTGTTGCTTCCCCCCACCCCTCCCCTGCTATCTTAAGGGCTTTAACGTTTCTTATTCTACAGATCTACTAATAATGAATTATTTTAAGATTTTCTTTAAGAAAATGCTTTTGTTTCACTTTCATTTTTTAAAAGATATTTTTCAAGGTGTGGATTTTGTCCTTTTTTTGTCATTTCAGGCAAGAGGATAAATCTGATCTCAGTTGTACCATTCTTTATGTACTTTAATCAAATTACACACCCAAGTCCAAGATGCAGACTTACCCAACCCCGAGTCATCTGTGGGACGCAGATACCTGAGAAAGGCAAGGAGTTGAGCTCAGCTGGTGAATCTGCTCCTGAATCTCACTCTGATAAAGCAGAGGATTTCCTGACTTCTTTCCTTGTTTTCTCCTTAAGAAAACATTTGTTTCCCATCCAGAGTTAGGCCAACACACTGAAACCATTCCTGCTGTTTTGTGACTAATGTGTACTCATTTCCTTTAGCTTTTGTTGCATTATTAAGAATAATCTAAAGTATCCAACCTGTCTGATGACTTTGCAAATGAAGAACTGGGCCTGATGGGCCTTTCTCTGATCGACACATCCAGCCAACTCCAGGGATTCCACTGCCAGACCAGGAATCTGCAGTTACTTTACTGCTTTTTATTTTAAGCAGCTTTATTGAAGTTGGAAGAAAACTTTACATCTTAGCCCTTCTGTGTGTTTGTGTAACTACATCTGTATATTAAGACTTTCAATGGAAAAAAAAAAAACTGCTTGATTTCTTGAGGGGGAAGAAATTAATCCACCATGACACTTTTTATTCTTCCCTAACAAGATCCAGGCAAAAGTAGATAATTTGAGTCTCTGAATCCAAACCTTACTGTTTGCTGTCATTGGGCAGACTGGTGGCTTGCAGGGAAAGGTCTAGATAATTAATAATTAGATAATTAGGGTATTTTCTCTGAACACCGCTCATAGCATCCATTTTTCATTGGCACTTGCATGCGTGAGACTGCCTATGCATCAGCACACTTGTGGTTGCACTGTTTCTTTGGATGCAGGGAGCTCCTGATAGGGCTTCACTAAACAGCTGCTGTAACAGCTCAGTGTTGGCACTCACTGTGCATCCTGGGTGTCTAGAGAAAGAAAAGACGGCAAGATACTGAAATGACAGAGCTGTGCAGGATGGCCCGAAATACTTGATCACATTCTTCTACAACTTTTATTGACACTGTCTTCTTGCTCCTCTTTTTGTTTTGCTGGTGCTGGGCATTAAGCCAGGAGCTTGCTCTGCTGAATGTGCACTGTGCCTCTGAGCTATATCCCAGCCCTGAGTTAGTCTCATGTGCCAAGGACTATCCCATTATTTCCTGCTAATGCTTTTGCCACACGCCCTAAAGTATGCTGTGAGGCATGCTCTGGCTACTTAGTACTGAAACTTCTTTGTTACTTTCCTTATGAAAAATTTCAAACTTAGTGTGTAAAATGGATAAAGAGTCACACACCCACCCACCAAATAGATTTAACCATTGCTATTTTGATCAACTCTTTTCTTTTGCTAAAGTTTTCCAAAGTAAAATACAGATACAATAGCATTACACTCCAGAATAATTCAGTATGAATCTAGACAATAAGACAATTTATCACCTCACAGCACCATTATACCACCTTAGACATTTTCTTTCTTTTAGAAAGTTGGGACTACTGGTCACATATGTGGTCGGCATAGGAAAAGGTAGGCATTACTGGAAGAGCGAAGGTAGGGAAATCCATGACAGCTTCCCGCTGAAGGAACTTTACAGCCTGAGGAGTTAAGTCAGTCTGGTGTTTAGGGTCCCCTTCTTAGTCCTCACTCTATGCTACCAGCAACCCTGCTCATCCGTAGGTCAGTTTTCTCACAAGAGGCACAGTGTCCGAACATGATTGAGTACAGCTCTTTCGAATGCTTGTTTTCATATATCTACGTTGAAGAAGAACTCAGAATTAAAAAAGATTTCTCAGGAGGTCACTGTTGGGAACCCAGTCTATGTGGTTGATAGACTTGAATCTTCAGGGTCATTTGCTATACTAATAGGACAGTGTCATCTTGCTCTCTGCTTTCACCTAGGCATGGTGGTACACACCTGTAATTCCTGCACTTGGGTTGCTCAGGCAGGGAGAATCATGTTTAAGGCCAGCCTGTGGTACATAGCAAGACCCTGTCTGAAACATTCAAACAAGCAAACAAAAAACTTTAAAACAACAACAAAAACTCAAAACAAAAACCCAGAAACAAAACACCAGAACAAGAAATAATCTCTATTTGAAGAAAAGATCATTTGTTCTAAGAGTAATAGCTTTGAATGGTCAAGAGCTATGTGCTTATGATGTTTTATTTGATCTGTCTGGGCATTTGACCTTGCTGGTTGACCCATTGGTTTTAGAGGTGTCTCCATCTCCTACTTCTTGCCCGGTCTCTTGATCTCTAGGTCTCTGTGTGTCTTCTTGAATGCTAAGTTGGTAGACATTTGTTCCACCTCTGCCAGTTAGTCCAGGCCAAGGCCTGAGCCAGACTGGGCCTAGGGGACTTGAGGAGACACCTAAGGGTCCTGGGGAGAAGCTTGAGAGAGCCCAGGAGTAAGGAAGTGTGCAGCCTTAGCTGCTGCAGAAGCCTCTGGGAGGAAAGGAAACAGCTTTAGGATGAAGCTGGCACTGTGTAAGGCAGAAGGGAAGGACTAGGTCCTCAATGACATTGGGGAAGTACTAGACTTGCCCAAAGCATTCTGTGTGACTTGTTGGATCTCAGTTCATCCTACTTGTATTTTATTGGGCATCTTGGATGTGTATATTCATATCTTTCATCAGATTTGGAGCATTTCATCCATTTCTTCACAGAACCTCTCCCAAGGGAAGATCATCAATCTTTCTTGGCCTCCATTTTCTGTTACAGAATGGGGATAATAATGGCCATTCTCAAAGTAATTTGGGGGGACTTAATTAAGAGGTCCTGCTAAAAATATGTATCCCATCTAACTCAGCAAATGATGGTTCTTCCTCATTAGTTGCTCAACATAGAGGATTGCATAAGGAAATTGCTAATATGGGGGCTGGGGGCATGGATCATATGGTAGAGCTGCCTACCTAGTAAGCCTGAGGCCCTGAGTTCAAACCCCAGTACTAGCAATAAAAAATATTTGCTAATGTGGAATTTAAGGAAGCAGGACATTAGAAATGTCCTGGGAGCTCTGACTGTAGCAGGATGGCAACTCACATTTCTCTTCTGGGGGCTGTGGGTATGCTGGTCAGGGCCCCCATGTCAGAATCTGAAGACTTACAACTGGTTGGTCAGATGGTGCTGAAATCCGCCCTCCCCCCCCCCCCCCCCAGTCAGGGCAGTTCGGTAAAGGAGGTCAGCATGCCTGGTTTTGGCAGGATACCTGTACCCTCAGATGGGCTTTGTGTCCCCCGGTGTGTTTTACTCTCTAGAGCTAAGCAAATGGCCTTGTGTGCAGCAAGGTGGAGAGGAGGGTCATAGCTTTACTTTACACACAGCCTGAGGCCAGACCCTAGCTTCAGCCTCCTCATCATTGCCAAAGCAGAGTTGAACTGCTTGATTTTTCTTTCTTCTTTCAGTGCCTGAAGACCTCTCAATAGAAGAGAGGGAAGAACTTTTGGACATTCGTCGAAGAAAAAAGGAACTTATTGATGACATTGAGGTAAAAACAAACAAAAGTTCTTGCTTTTGGGTGAAATAGTGAATAGAATAGCTTCAGGAAACTGTAAAATGTTATTTCCTATGTGTATAGGAACCACATAAAGAGACAAAGCCAAGACTGTCAGCACCAGACAGTTTAGAGTCTGGAGTAGAAGTCAAGACGATGGGCCCATTACTCAAAGACTGAGCTGCCTCTCCGACTTGTGAGTAGCAGGTTTAGACAGCAGCAGCCTGCAGCACATGGCCTTCCACACCTGCTTGTGTGCAACGTCCCGGGTACCGAGAATGTGGTCTGTCACATATCTGCACCCAAATAGCCTTTGAACATACGGACAGGCATACACCGTCCCAGCTGTGTGCCATATGCCTGCTAGGTAGTAGGGACAGAGCAGCAAACTAAACAAAGATGAATAAAACAGACAAAAATACATTTCCCTTCCCACATTTGTTGGATACTTTACCCAGAGTACAGGGCAGTGGGATCCCCAGGAGAGGCAAATGAATAAAGCCACAGTTTCACAGCTGGGCTATCTGTGATTGTTACAAAAACCCTGCAGAAAGCCTCCCAGCTCCTTCATTGGGAAAGTCAGTCCTGTGCCTCTTCTTTGAGAAGCTTCCTAGTCACTGTCATTGCCAAAATAAATGTGGCCTCACAGGCCACTCACTGTCCCAGACAATGACTCCTTTCTAGTAACTGGATTTTTGAATCTGAATTTCTTGGCACATAATAATAAGGTTCTGAATAAAAATTTTTTTTTGAAAGGTAATTCATGGACATTTTCATTTTAAGGTTACACTTCATTCTTGGAAATATCCTGTCACCCAGAATAAGTCCTATGACTGAATAAGAAGAACACGTACTATTAGACACTAGTGATCATTCTGCCAAGTTACTATGGAATCTTCATCTAACTGTGACTGCCTCCTTCCGCAGTGAGAATGCTAAGTCCCGCGAGGCCAAGATGCTGCCAAGGGGACTCAGCCAGTAGGGGCCACAACTGTCTGTCCCCTCTGTTTCTGTTGTGTCTGTGTTGGTGATGGGTCCCTGAGGCCTCACCCCTCACTAAGTGACAGGAATCATCCTGGGACTGCTCACTGGTGAACCTGCTGCCAGCCGAAATGCATCTGAGCTTCAGCTTCCCTGGTCTCCCAAGAAAGTGGGCGACCCTGGAGGAGAAGGCAGGCGACCTGTGCCCAGTAGTGTGGGATGGCTGTAGTTAAGTGAGCTAAGGGCCTGTTGCTTTCTTTTGGCTGGTTTCATCTTCTTACACTTCTCAATACTCTCTTGTGTCCCTTGGCTGACCTTGAACTCTTGATCCTCCTGCCTCTACCTCCCGAGTGCTGAGATTGCAAGCAGATGCTACCACACCTGGCATCTGTGTTCCTTCTTGATTTTATACACAAGTTCCAGAGTCTGCCTAATGGGCCCTGTGATGCAGTCTGAAGAGAGGCAGGCAGATTGTTTGGTTTTCTGTAAACTGTCCTGATACAGGTGCTTGTTTCTGGCTCTCTGGTGCTCACATGAGCCCTTGAGGAAGATGTGCCTGGAAGGCGAAAACATCTGAGTCTAGGAGGAGGAAGGTTAAGACACTCTGTGACCCCACATTCCTTCTTTTTTGACAGAGGCTGAAATATGAAATTGCAGAAGTGATGACAGAGATCGACAACCTAACTTCTGTGGAAGAGAGGTAAATGGTTCCGGCAGGCACCTTCAAGTCACTGGGGCTCTTTGTGCCTCGCCGCCTCTAGCAGTGCTGACCACCTACTGACTGCAGCAGGGGAGTGGGCTGCGTGAGAAGTGGGGGCTTTGGAATTCATCTTCTTTCCTTCACTTCTTCCACTCTCTGTGGAGGTGGAGGCTACTTCTCTGGAGGTCACTTCCTGCCCCCCCACTTTCTCTAAGTCCTTGTCTGCCTTTGTAGGTTCAAGAATAAGCACAAGCACTTGGAATTACTACCCAGCCACAACCTTTCTGTATCATGAGGAGCTGTGCTTTTTATTTAAAAGTAACTGTTAACCGGGCATGGTGGTATACACCTGTAATCCCAGAATTCAGGAGGCTGAGACAGGAGGGTCTTGAGTTTGAGGCTAGCCTGGGCTAGCTATGAAGACTCTGTATCAAAAAAAAAAAATCTGTTTTGTCATTAGCTTTTTCTGCAGGAGAATATCTCAGACAATCACACGTGGAGTAGAATGGAAGCAGCTCCTCCAGCACCTGTGCTTTTTCTTTCCTGAGTCGTCATGAGAGGGAAAGTGTGCTAAGGGCTATGACTCTGCTGTGCTGTGTGAGACACTGCACTCCGTGAAAATATACCCACTAATGATTTTTTAATTATTTCAAATGCTTAGCAAAACTACTCAGAGGAACAAACAAATAGCCATGGGAAGAAAGAAATTCAACATGGACCCCAAAAAGGTAAGTCCTCCCAGTTTTCCAGCATGCAAGTGATCGGTGGATTGTAGCCATCACCCTTTGGACAAAGGTGATCCTGTCACTCCACTAAAAAGGTGGAGCTGATGTTACATTTTATCCCACGGGGGCTGCTCACAAGTAGGGTAAGCTAGAAGCATCCTGCTGAGCTGGCTCCTGGGCCCAGAGGCCTGTCTTGCAGTGTGTGGCTGTGAGTGAGGACATGGCCCCAGAGGAGTCCTGGGCATGGTTTCTGGACACAGTGAGTGCAGACGCCCTAGTCACCCTTGTGACGTCTGCTCGCCTCATCCGAGGAGGTTGGGGGTTAGTCAGGCTGTCATGAATCGTTCAGCAGGCTTCATTTTGTGTCCTTCTGTACCCTAAAGATTTTTTACATTAATTTCTGGTCCTCTCCAGTGACTTGTTTAATTGTGTGGTTAATGGAGCAGAGGGCACATTTAGTCTGCCTGTGGCCTTTTCCTGGAAAATGATCAGATTTGATGGTGTAGGTTTGGTTATGGCACTTAGTCACCTTAGGGGCCTAAACAACAGATGACTTTTTTTTTTCCTCACAGTTCTGGAGGCTGTGAGCCCAAGATTGGGTGCCAGCATGGCTGGGCTCTGGTGAGGGCCTCATCCCTGGTACAGACAGCTGCCCTATTGCTGAGTCCTCCCATGGCTTGGGGCAGGGAGTGAGCTGACTCTAAGGTCTCTCTCCTCAAAGGCCATGAGTCCACCTCAGACCAAGGGCCATTCCCAACGACCTCATCTATCCCTAATTGTCTCCAAAGGCCCTACCTCCAAAAACTAACATGAATTTTAGTCCATACCACAGCAGATAATCTCACATGCAAGTGACAAGTACATCTCCCCATCCACCCACTTAGTCATGCAAGATTGCAAGACATAACAATCCCGTCAGAGTGAGTAAAGTCCCTCAGGCTAAGGGAACTTGTAAGTCTCCGTGATAACACTGTAAGCAAGGAGCTCTGGTTTGTTCAGGTACATTAACGTCTAGAAGTAGCACTTGGCTTAAAAATAAATAAAGGTTTGATTAGATCACAGATACTGAAAATACTACTGCCTTGCCCTTTTATTCCCAGTGTCCTAGAAATGCCTTAATGATAAAACACACAAATCTATAGCAAGCAGGAGTTTACTCTGTGGACCAGAAACTGAGGAATCCCTGCAAGAAAGAAGATAAATGGAATAGTTGCAGGCAGAATCACGCCCAGGTGACACACAAGAAAGAGCTGTTGCAGGAAGTGAGGGCAGACGAGGGTCCACTGCTGCAGGAGGCAGATGTGGATTGGGACTTGTAGACTGTCCACCAAGCAAGAGGGAAGGACTGCGTGGTCATGAAAACAGTGGTGATGGTTGTGGGGGGGGCGGTGGCACGGGGAGACAGTGTTCTGGTGCTGGCAGCACGAAGGAGGGGAAATGTCCATTCTCTGAGGCCAGCTATGGGCACAGTCCCCACCCCCCAATGCTGCTCTGCCACATGTCTGGAGGGGACTGCAGTAAAAGTCAGAAATAGCATCCAGGTGCCACCAGTGACTTTGAAAGGCAGACACCAAGCCAAGGACCACCAAGCACTGGAGGAAACCAGCACCTGAAAGGAGCGTGAAATGCACAAACAGAAAAACTGACAGGGAGGAAACAATGGGAGGAAGTTTCCAAACATAAGGTATTTGTAGATATTATAAATATCACCAAAGAGAATTGATAAGGCGTGCCTCATCCATGATACAAAAATGCAGTGTTGTGAGAAAGAACACTGGAAATAAATGGGAGTTCACATGATAATGTAGATACTGGGGTGAGGACACAGAAGGTGACTGAAGAGTGGGTTTGTGGGCTATAGAGTCGTAGTTCTCACCACAGTTCTGCCCAGAAATAAAGACATGAAGATGGATCCAACAGCCAAGGTTTGTCCAATACAAATCCCAAAGAAGAGAGTTGACAATGCAGAGCAGGAAGTATTTTAAGAAAATTTTAGAACTAGGCTAAAGTAAAATTCTTCAGCTTCATAGGCCCCACTAAATGCCAAACAGCATGAAGTGTTAAGACAATGCAGCTTTGCTGTATAAATATCATCTAACTTGTCTGTAGAGAGTCATTGAGCTTTCCAGGAAGGAGAGACCAGGGTACTTAAGAAGAAAAGAGCTCATTACTAGGAAATGCTGGCCCAAAGACAGTAGGAAATCAGTGTCTTCCAAGTTAATCACCAGTACTCCTTCTGATTCTAGTACTTTTTGTTTGTTTTGGTGGTATTAGGATTTGAACTCGGGGCCTCTTGCTTGCTAGGCAGATGCTACACCAACTGATCCTAAACGAGAAATTAATCTACAGGATTAAAAAGATATGAAAAGCTGGGTGTGGGGCCTCATGTGATGGCACACATCTTTAATCCCATCTTCTTGGGAGGTGAAAATGGGAAAATTGCAGTTTGAGGCCAGCCCAGACAAATGTTAGTGAACCCTTGTCTCAAAAATAAGTCAGGCATGATGGCTCATGCGTGTAATCCTAGCTACTCCAGAAGCAGAGATAGGATGACTGAAGTCCAAAGCTAGCCTGGGCAGTTAGCAGGAGATTGCTAACTGAGATCTGAGAAGCAAACTAAAAGCAAAAGGATTGAGGGCATGGCTGAAGTGGCAGAGGTCTTGCCTCACAAGTGTGAGGTCCTGAATCTGGTGCTTAGTATTGAAGGGAAAAAATTAATAAAGTCAACGTGGTGTATACCTGTAGTCCCAGTCCTCGGGAGGTTGAGGCAGGAGGATTGAGATCAAGACCAACCTTGAGAGACAGTTTTCTAAAAAAACAACAAAAAGTTTGCAGAGAAACCAGCAAAACTTATGATTAAATCTAAATGAGAACTGATTGTTTAAAATGTATTTTTTTTGAGTCCCAGATTATCTGTGTACATAAATAGCAGGGGAGAAAAGATGGAAGTGAAAGGCAGCTAAGGATGATAGGTAAACGTGAATGTAAACACTTTTCAATCCTCAAAGCAACCCCTTGAGATTGGAACAAGATAGGGCCTGTAAATGATTCGGAGAACTGGTTGGAGAAAGCTTGAATATTTTAAAATATTAATTTTTTCTAATGAGCCGGGTGCCAGCAGCTCATGCCTGCAATCTTAGCTACTTGGGAGGCTAAGATTGGGAGGATTGTGGTTTGAGGCCAGCTGGACAAATATTTCTCAAGACCCCATATCCAAAATAACCAGAGCAAAAAGGGGTGGAGTCTGCCTGACTTGAGTGGTAGAGCGCCTGCTTTGCAAGTGGGACTCCCCAAGTTCAAACCCTGGTTCTACCAAAATCACCACCAACAAAGACCCCAGATGGACTGTGAGCATGTGTGGAACCCTGGGCTTGACCTGGGAATTGAGCTGTGAAGCCTCTCTGGGTTTGCAGAAAAGCCTCCTGGCAAATGGACCATAGAGTTCCCTGTTCCCCTCACTAGCCTCACCAACATGGGTTTTGAAACCAGCTCTGGAGCTGGGCTAAAGGTAAAGGTTTGCCTACAGCAGCTCATGAGGCATTGCATCTGGTTTGGACCCAGGTAGCTACTGTCAGCTGTGTTCTGTAGGCCCTTAAGGTGGACATGAGTTCTGACTAGTGCATGCTCAGTGGTAGTGTGTCAGTTTTAGCCTCAGGTGGTGGGGGAAAAAGCAAGCTCAAGGGAGGTTTATCTTCTTGCATAGCTGCTATGGTATGGCAGGAGCAGTGTGCCCATGTCATTTCAGTCTTTCTCTCAACTGAGGGCTGCTGTGGCTGCGGGTCATCACATCTATTTCAAGGCAGGAAAGAGGAGGCACAGCAGTGAAGGTGATCTCTACAGGCTTACTTATGTCTGTTTAGCCAGATCTGGGTCACCAAGTCATCTCGAGTTCTAAAGGAAGCTGGGAAAGTGATTATGTGGGGTAGGCTGGCAGGGAAAGGGGATGGAGTCAGGTACCGGGTTGTCCAACCTACAGCATCTCTTCCCAGACACAAAACCTATCATTTTCCTATGCTAGAGAAATCTGATGATATTGCTATGTCTGCCCTGATCACCTCTGAGAACACCAACAGCAGCTTGTTCATTCACACATTTATTTGTCTTTGACCTGTAAATTGCTGGGAGGTACTTTTCTGCGATGGGTAAACACAGTGTGGTATTGTGAAGATCAAATGGTGTGGCTTCGTGGGCCTCTCTGGTATCTTTGCTGTGTTCAAACCAGTCACGTGATTATGCAACGTGTATTTCTGTCTTTGGAAATTCCTCCTAACCAGTGCTTCCTGTGTCCCATTATTCCTCAGGGAATCCAGTTCCTAATAGAGAATGACCTGCTACAGAGCTCCCCAGAAGACGTCGCCCAGTTCCTCTACAAAGGAGAAGGCCTAAATAAGACCGTCATTGGGGACTACCTGGGCGAGAGGTAAGCAGGGGCTCTCAGGATCGAGAGCAGGATCAGAGCGTTTGCTATCACTACTGCTGTCAACATGGTGCTGGCACTGCTAGCCAGGAGAGACAAGCAAGAAAGTGAAGATAGGTCCAAATTGCAAAAGAAGTAATAAAACTCTCTCCCTGGACAAGGTAACATGGTCCATTGTCTTCAGAAAATCCTAAGGAATCACTGAAAAACTCAGCACTAATAAGCAAGGGTAGTAAGATTGCAGGATACAAGATGTGTAAAACTCAGTGACATTTCTATACAGTAGCAATGAGCAAGCTGAAAAGAATATTGAGAGAATGGCTCCATTTATACTAGCATTAAAAAGAATAAAATATTACAAATAAACTTGACAAAAGAAGTGCAAAAGTTTTACTCTGAAAACTGAAGCATTAGAAAAAATGAAAAGATCCAAATAAGTGGAAAGCCATCCCATGTTCATGAATTGGAAAACTTAGTATTGCTAAACAGCAGTACCCTCCAACATTGGTCTACAAACTTGATGCACCCTGTCAAAATCCCAGCTGACTTCTTGGCAGGAATTGGCAAGCTCATCCTAAAGTTCTTAGGGAACTTCAAGGGACCAAGAATAGCCACAGTCCTGAAAAAGAGCTGAGAGCTCACGATTTCTGATGACAAAACAGACTCTCACTGTGCTCATTGAGACTCATCTCAGTACTGACAAACTGATTGACATATACAAGGTCCCAAGAGTAGAACTGTGAATCCAGAAATAAACCCTCATGTTTATTGCCAAATGATTCTCAACAAATGCTCTAAAACACTTCAGTGGGACAAGAGTAGTTTTTTTCTCAGTGGATGGCACAGAGACAAGTGGATATCCACATGCAAGAGGATGTCCTCGTGTCCTTCACGGAACACAAAGATCCAATAGATCAAAGACCTCAGTGTGTAAAGCACTTAGAAAACCTGGAGGCGAATCCTCGTGATCTTGAAGACCCAATTCCAAATGCACAAGCAACAAAAGAATACAGTAAGTATGTATCATGAAAATTAAATACTTTTGTGCTTCACACAGAACCACCAAGAAAAGTGAAGTAACAGTCCTCCTGAACAAGAGAAAAATACTGTAAATCATATATAAATCTGATAAGGACATATCTGGACTATATAAAGAAGTCTCACAGTTGACAAACTGTAATGCAAAAATCCTAAAGGCTCTGAAATCTGAAACTTTTGGAGCATCAACATGGCACTCAAAAATTTTGGATTTTGGAGCATTTTGGGTTTTCAGATTAGGGATGCTCAGCCTGTGTTAGAATCCACAGGGAGTGTAGAGAGAGAAGAGGAGGAGTCTGCCCTGGGCTGGGGCAGAGGGCCCAGTTGAAGGGGACAGAGAGATGATGGGGCCACCCCTTCATTCACTCTGCCTACCTTATACCTTGGGGTGCTTTGTACTGGCTCAAACTGGACAGCTTCTGAGCCCAAATGGGGCCATCTTCCCCCCAGGTGAAAGTGTTCACACTGGAGCCCTCTGCAGAGCTCAGGTGCATTCCCCACCACCTACACCATGAGGCTCCAGGAACTCTTGTGGTGATGGGATTTTTCCTTTAATGCTGCCTTTGGGACCAGCCAGCCACCCTGAGGTGGTGGTGGCTGATGTGGTCACTGGCCTGCTTCTTGCCGTGGCCCTAACCAGGCTGCCACTGCCACTCCTCCCACAGTCAGCCACCCATGATGGTTCATGTGTACAGGCACACCCACACACCCCACCCCACGTGTCCTGTACTTTATAGTGTGTACTATGTCAATTTAACAGAATCAGCTATAGATAGTACAGTGTTAGATTATCTCCAGGGACAGAACCTTGCGTGGTCACTGCCACCTTGTGGAGAATCATCAGGACCCCAGGAGCCTCAGAGACAGCAGTGCCACACCTCCCACTTGCACATTCCAAAGGGGAGATGGGGAGAAGTTGGGGCACACAATTGGTGCCCAGGCCCTGCTCTGACCTTCCCCCTGTTCACCTTACAACCTCTGCCAGATGGGGGACATACCCTGTGGCAGACACGACTCAGTCATGGCACTGCTGTCGCATGACCTTGCTATTGCTGGCCCTGGTGTTCATACAGTCGTGAGCTCCCTCCAGGAGTGAGCATGCTGGTTTTCAGGCCAGGCCTTGTCTGATCCCCCATGGATGGCAGAGTCCCAGCTGGGTCCTGAGAGATGTAAGTATTTGACTACAGAGTTCCAGCCTGTGTGAGTTCCAAAGCTCAGCCACTGTCATGCAGCCTGTGTCAGGTGCCAGCCCTGCAGGGGCCAGGTGAGCCCTGGCCTTGTGCTGCTCAGGGCGTCCTCAGTGACCAGGCCTGTAGTGTAGCCTATGGGTAAAATCCAACAAAGCACATCCTTACATCATTTTACTTTTGGTTGTCATTTAAAAAAATTTTACACCTACTGTATTCTTATGTTGAGTTTAGTTTTTAAAAGCCAATACAAGGTATCATTTACAAACTTCTCTTACTCAGCCCAATATATACACCGAATAGTTTATGATCTTGAGCAAGTTGCTTTACTTCTCTGAGCTTCAAGAGCCCCCATTTGGCTGGGTGCCCATGGGCTCCTGCCCATAATCCCAGCTACTCAGGAGGCAGAGATCAGGAGGATCAAGGTTTAAGGCCAGCCAGAGCAAATAGCTTGAGAGACCCTATCTTGAAAATACCCAATACATAAAAGGGCTGGAGGAGTGGCTCAAGTGGTAGAGTGCTTGCTAAGCAAGCTTGAAGCCCTGAGTTCAAACTCCAGTACCACCAAAAAAAAAAAAAATTGTGGCTGGGGTGTGGCTCAAAAGGTAGGGTGCTTGTGCAAAGCCCGGGGTTCAATCCCCAGTGCCACCAAAAAAAAAAAAATACCCTGTGAGATGGGAGTGATAATAGGGCCTTGCTTCGGGGTCATTTTGAAAGTTGCAGGGTATACACTGAGCACTAGGCAGGCCTTGTAACGTGACATTGGCTGCACTTGTCGTCCTTTGGAGGTTCATGATATCTGTTTCCTGACACCTATGATTACGAATCACATTCCTAATTTCCTGTTGGTTGTTCTTTGCATTAAGTCTGAAAACAGCCAGATTTGGTAGGGCATACCTGTAATCCCAGCACCCCGAAGGCTAAGGCAGGAGGCTCATGAATTCGAGGCCAGCCTAGGTTACATAGTAAGAGCCTATCTCAAAAAAACAAAACAAAAGCAAAGTCTGAAAACAAACTCGTAGTGAAGAAAATCATAATTTGTAGTTATACAAAATTAAAACTGCAAAAGCGTACCGTATGTGTCTTCCTTTCAGAGAGGTTGAGATGGTGTGTGTTAGCCTTGACCCTTATTTCTGCTCTTTCCTAGGGATGAATTCAATATCAAAGTTCTTCAGGCTTTTGTTGAACTCCATGAGTTTGCTGACCTCAACCTCGTACAGGCCTTAAGGTGAGCATCAGGCATAGAGACGCTAGGGAGGCCCAGTGGCAGGTGCCTCTGAGGAAGCTTGCAAGTCCCGCAGCCCTGGCACCTGGTCCCGTGCTTGCCCTCCTGCTGGAGGACACTCAGTAGCCCTGGGCAGGAATTGAGGCATGCTCGCAGAGACAGACATCCCTTTCCTCCTGTGACCACCATTCTGCATCTCAATCACTATTGCTTTGCTGTCCACCATTTGGGGTGATGCCCAGCGGTTATGTGTGGGCTTTCCCACATCGGTGTGACCTCCATGCCATCCTGGCCTACTTCCCACTAGATTTGACCTCAAGCACCAAGAGCATGGGTGCCAGGAGTATGTGCAGCTCCTGCCATAAGACGCCACCCTCTAACCTCAGTTTCACTGAGAAATCCAGTGTCACCATACATCATCTAGAGTGAGCTCTTGCTCTCCCTCATGCCGCCCTGTTACGGTGTTCGCACTGTGCTCCCTGAACACACACTCAAGCTGCTAGTCCTGGCATCCTGGTTGAGTGGCATGGCATGTCACTGGGGCTGAGTCTTGACCCTGAGCCACTGCCCGGCACGGGAGCCACCCCCGCCTGTTCTGGGCCGAGTGTGCTTTAGCCATGTCTTATCTAGTCGTATGCTCAGACTCTCTTCTACACTCTGTGCTGGTTTATGTGGCCTGTTTCTTGGTGGCCCTGCTTCAGCTGCAGACTGAAGTGCTGGCAGCCTCGGTGTAACCATCAGGACATGGTGCTCAGCAGCTGAGCGTGGATTGAACAGCATAGTGACAGTTAGTGAGTTGCACAGTTGACAAGCCTGAGTCACATTTTTGTATGTCCAAAGAAAGATGCAGTCCTGGCGAGCCTAGCAGGTATGTCCACGGCACAACCATCACCTGTGTTTCTCTTTCTTTTGTTCAGCAGTCTCTGGCCCAGGGTCAAAGAGGTTCCTAATGTAACACATGAGTCAAATCCTAGCACAGCTCCCCCAGACCAGGTGGAGAGTGGCCACCTAAGTTTTGCTCCAGTGGTGCTTGGGCTCTGCCTGGCCTGGAGCACCTGTTGACCCTCTGCCCCTGGGCCTGTCCCGAAGTGTGGAGGGCAGAGCTCAGGGGACAGTGCTGTTGCTAGGACGGCTCCACAGAGTTCCACAGTGTGCAAAGGAGGAGGAAACAGGTATTTGTGACAAACTGTTTCATAGTTTGTCAGAAGGAGCTGGTTGCTGTGGAAACAAGGAAGAAGTTTGGGCCTGGGGTCCTCGGGCTAGTGGGTGCTCTGGTGGTGATGCAGCAGTGGAGACCAGGCCCCTGGTGGGAGATGTGGTATCCTGTGGCCTGAGGAGCTGCTGAGGATTTTGGCTTCCACTCTGAGGGAAGCAGTTAGGGTATTTAACTGACCTAGGCCCCTCTTGCTATGCAGAGGTCTGCAGGGCAGCTTACCAGCATGGGACAGAGGGGGACAGTCAGACCTGAGAACAAGGACTGGGTATGGGCAAGTCTGAAGCTGTCAAAGCAAGTGTGCCAGAAGTCCCAGAGCACAGGGTGGGGTGAGGAGGTGGCAGCAGCCCACAGGGAGCACCACATTTACAGCCTACAGAGCAAGAGGAAAGCAGTGACCTCCCCTGCTGATGGCTATCCAGAAGCTCAGTCTGCAGGTCTGACCTCAGCCCTCATCCTGTGATGAAGCCTCTATCATCAGACACCCCTGAGCAGCTGGTTTGAGGCCTGGCTGACCTTGGGGACTGCAGGGAGCAGGACAATGCAGCTCTGCCCTCACTGTTCTAGCAGATAGATCACAGATGGTTGTGGGTGCCATATAGCCCAGCAAAACAAAGCATAGTGTTGGTCAAGGTTGCAATTTCAGGTAGGGAGGTCAGGGGAGACCTTGTGGGGAGGGGACATCTGAGGACAGGAGCATCTGTGTGCTTGGACCTGGTCACTACTGAAGGAGTGTGTCTGCACCAGCAAGGCCACCACAGACCCTGGCCGTGGCCATGGTCTGGAAGGTGTGGATGGGCTCTGGACGCTGGCTGTCCTGGCTCTGGCCTTGCCCTGTAAGGTGGGCATCCTGAGAGGAGGACATGGGCCCATTTGTCTGTTGGGACTGTGGAGCATGGGAACGTGGCAAGGGTCTGTGACCACAGGGCAGGTGCAGCTGGTAGCATAGGGGCAGCTGGTGCTGGGGTCCTGGGGTCCTGGATACTTTTAAGTAGAGGTGACAGATTTTGATGAAGAATTGGTTGTAGTTGCAAAACCTGGGATCAGTCCATGAGCCTGTCTTCAGTTGTCGAGTGGAGGCCACCCTTCATCCTCTGCTGGGCAGGAGACCAGGCTGGAGAGGCACTGTCCTTGCTGAGGTGTGCAGGGCACGGCTGGCCTTTGGGCCTGGTGGGTCCACCCTATGCATGGTGCTGGATGAGCTGTCCGTGTTTCTACAGGCAGTTCCTGTGGAGCTTCCGGCTGCCCGGAGAAGCCCAGAAGATCGACCGTATGATGGAGGCCTTTGCATCGCGCTACTGCCTGTGCAACCCTGGGGTCTTCCAGTCTACAGGTCAGCGGCTGGCTGGGCAGCATGCCCATGCCTGCGTGGGTTTCCCATGGGCCCCGCTCCCCGTGGGGCTGCTGAGCCTCCACTGTCCTGGCTGTTGCAGACACGTGCTACGTGCTGTCCTTCGCCATCATCATGCTGAACACCAGTCTGCACAACCACAATGTGCGTGACAAGCCCACTGCCGAGCGCTTCGTCGCCATGAACCGGGGCCTCAACGAGGGCGGAGACCTCCCCGAGGAGCTACTGAGGGTGAGTCTGGGCTGCAGTAGCCTCCACGCTGGCCTCCAGCCCGTTCTAACTGTTGCATTTATCAGATCCTTTGGAGTTGTATCTTAAACACGTCTCCGAACACCTCTTTGCTTCCCTGCTCCTATATATTCTGTGCTTATTTCTGCACAGGAGGGAAGTAAAGAGGCCAGCCGCTTCTCTGTTTGAACCTGACTTTGCTGCTGTTTCTCCCAACAGAACTTGTATGAAAGCATTAAGAATGAACCCTTTAAGATCCCAGAGGACGATGGGAATGACTTGACACACACCTTCTTCAACCCGGACCGGGAAGGCTGGCTCCTGAAGCTGGGTGAGCCTGGCTGTGCAGGGCCCATGCTTACATCCCCAGCCCACGGCAGCAGCTCCCGCAGGGTTCCTTCCCAGCTCTTGTAGAGAAGGTCCCTAAGTGCAAAGCAGAAATGTTAAAAAGAAAACACAGTTAAGCCAGAGTTTGCTGTTGGCAGCCACACATTCCCCCTGCTGGTGGCTGTGACCCTGAGTCCTGGCCCTCAGAGCCAGGCCACGCTTGCAGCACCACGGCAGAGACTGCACAACCAGTCCCAGAAAACTGCCGAGTTAGTGTCCACGTAAATCAGGGCAATTCTCTGTATGAGAAGCCAGTACCTTTACCTCCAAAGAACCTGCGTGCCTTTCTCTTGGTTTGGCGTGGCTGTGATTTTTGACGAGTGGTTTAAATGTGCCTTCTTGTTGTTTTCCTTCTGCCTGTGGCTCCCACCTTTCTGTTCTGTGATGGGCTGTCCCTGCTTGTCCTGCGTTAGGAGGTAGGTACCCAATGGCTTCCTCCCTCCCCAGCAGCTCACTCCTCTCTCCCCCACGTTGGTCTGTGTGAAGCTCCGGTCTGTGCTGCCATTCATCTGATCCATTTGGCTTTGGACGTGTTGGGGTCAGCATCGTGCACGGTGTGGTGTGAGTGACACCCACCCCCGGGCAGGGCCTAGATCAGCTGGGACTAGGAGCACATGGGGACACTGCAGAAACCACAGCAGTGAGGAAGCCAGTAACCAGCCTGTCCATGCGGTGACACCAGTCCCCCAGCACCAACCATGCAGTGCATAAGGACGTTCAAAGGCATCCTTACCAGTATAAAGACTCTTATACTTTGAGGCAGTCTGGGGAACTTTTGGGAATTTGGGGAAGGAATGGAGTTTTGCCTTATCGTGACAGTAAATCCCTAGAGACATGACAGCTGCATTTTATCTAGGTATAGATTATTGCTTGTAGCATGTAAGACACGTGGCCTAGAATTCTGGTAATTTAAAAAAAAATTGATCAGGCTGGCGGAATGGCTCAAGTGGTAGAGCGCCTGCCTGGCAAGCATTAAGCCTTGAGCTAAAACCTCAGCACCAACAACAACAAAATTATCAAGGGAGGTAAGATGTTGCATGGTGACAATGTGGCATGCATGGACTGTCTTAGCTGATGGATGGGGTATGTCCCTCAGGTTTACTGTTCCCCCTGGGGTCTTTGACCTTGGCCATTGCTTTTTCTTTTCTTTTCCAGAGCTGGGATTGAACCCAGCAAGCATACGCTAAGAAAGCACTCTGCCTCTTCAGCCACACCCCCAGCCCTTTTTCCATTTTGAGATAGGCTATAGCTACCTTTGCCTGGGCTGGCCTTGAAATCTTGATCCCTCTCCTCCTCCAGAGCAGTTGAGATTACAGGCATGTACCACCACATCTGGCTTGGCTGTTTTTCTCTGGCTATGCCAAGGTTTAGCAGAATTCTAGATCTTGGCCTATCAAGCTGGTACCATAGCCTTGGACTTGAATGACTGTGTGACCTTAGACATTGGGCTGACCTTTCAGATGGTGTGCTTGTAGTCCTGGAATGGGGACAGGAGGAGGAATGCATCCCAAGACACTAGTCATTACCCTTGGCCAGAGTAAGTCGGAAGTAGACGCCTTCTGTACATTTCCTACATTGCCCAAGAGTGCCCCTTGAGGGACAGCGGCACTGCCAGCCTGCCCTTGGCTATTGGGGAGGAGGCCGGCCCTGAAGCTGCTCTCTGGCTGGTCTGAAAACAAGCCACAGAATGAGTGCACAGAGCACTGGAGCCGCACCATTGGCCTGAGCAGGTATCTCGTGGCCCTGGCTTGGGGGTCTGCCCAGGACAGCAGATGCTGCGGTATGGGGTTGCCCAGCAGCCCCCTCTGTATCTGTCCTGTTCTGAAGTCAGGCCAAAGGCCGCAAGCTGGCACTTTCCACAAATGGACTCTGCAGCAAGCTGGATTAAAAGGGCACAGAGCTCTCTCCTGAGTGCCTGGTGTGTGCAGGTGCTTCTGCCCACAGGCTTCCCCAGCTGTTGGGAGGAGTCCAGGCCCCACCACTAGACATAGCCAGATGGCCTCAGGGGCCGGGCACTGAGTGGGGCACACAGTCCCTCCCAGCGCAGGGCAGGCACAACCGGGACACATGTGCTGGCTGAGGAATGTAGTCTGGGTGGAGTCCCTAGAGTGCCTTTCCCAGCATATGCTCAGGTAGGAGTGTAGCCACCTTGTCATAACGTATCATTGGAGCAGTGGCTTTTTAAGGCCTCGGTGCCTGGCCAGAGCCTCGGTACACTGTGATGTGCACACCTGGCTTGTACTTATTGAAAGACAATGGGTTTTGAGTTAACATAGTGTGGTCAGAGGAAAAAGCATGTGTGTGCCACACCTGTGGCCACATGTGTGTCCACACATGCTTCGTAGTGACAGTGAAAGGGGACAAGCAGAAGGTGGTGCTTCCTATGTTGGGGGCCCAGCTCCTATCTGCAGGGTGGATGGAGTGAGCAGGACTCCCGGCTCCTCCCAGCAGAGCCTGCCATTCCTCCAAGACGGAGTTGCCCTGCCCCTGACCTAAAAGCTACCCCTGGGGGCCTGAACGGTACCCCTTGGCCTAAGCTCACCTGGCCTGGAGGGTGGCATTCAAATCAGCTTCTCCAGATGGGTTGCTGACTGTGGGAGCCCTGGGATGGGGGCCCAGAACTGAAGCCCCTTCCTGACATATCCCCTCCATGCAGCTGTGGGGCTGGATGGCCACATGGCGAGCAGAGCTCACAGTGGCCTGATTGCTGCTCTGGCAGAGGTGTGCAGAAGAGCAGGCACTGCCACGGAGCCATTTGGGGACTCATGGGACACTTGGAGGTCCCAGACAGCACTGGAGAGGGTGGGGAGCAGAGCCCAAGGGCTTGGTGTCCAAGGCCTTTGTGTGCACACACCAAGCAGCGGGACATAGAGGCTTCAAACTGGGAGGGGTGCATCATGGGGGCTCTTTGCAGAGGACACCTCTGGCTGATGTTGGAGGGCAGGTAGGGAAGGCTGGGACCCTGCCTTGGGGGTTGGTCTCCAAGGAAGACTGAAGTGACAAGACACGTGCTGCTGGCTTGTGGGGGCATTGGAGTTGCTGTCAGCTGATTCTGCCTGTCTTGGGGTCAGGGGAGGTGCTTAGCAAGAATCTGGTGTTAGTCTGCTCTTCTCGTGATCACAGAGTTGAGTCCCCTGTCATTGGAGGACGGGACAAGACAGGTTGCTCTGAGAATCTCTGGGGCTCCTGGATAGAATGGGGAGCCAAGGACTCCAGTGATGAAGCTGTGCAGATGGGCTTGGGGAGCAGGAGGCTAGGCACCAGGTCCAGAGGGACAGTGGGAGGAAAGGACATTGCTCCAGGCTAGAGGCCCCAGCAAAGGCCCTGTGCCATGGTTGTGAGCTGGCTGGCAGCTGCTCAGTCTGATGGTGCCATATAAATGCATGAGGAATGCTGGGGGTGGGGGCTGGTGAGAACCGTGTGACAAGTCTGTCCAGGAGGAAAGGGAGATCGGACTGCCTAGGGTGCCTCCCTGTGCGGTGGTAACGGGCCTCATCTTAGGCTGTCAGAAATGGGTAGCTGGACAGCCTGATAAGTAAGATAGGAGCGAGGGGTCTCAGCTGGCCCCTGCCATGGTCAGGCTTCCTCTTCCTTAAGGTGGATTCTTCCTGTCTTCTCACCCTGGGTCTCTACAAAGTGAAGCCCAGTTAGGGGCTGGATAACCCCTGCCTTGGGCCTAGGGACCCTTGGTGACCCTCACAGCCCTTCCTTCAGTGGCCTGTCTCCACTCCCCAGGGCCCGTCGTTGGCCTCCCAAACTCCAGGAAGGGCTGCCACCCAGCCCCAAGGGCTACACCTCGCCTGCTGTATGGTGGAGGGTGCCACCAGCATCGGCTCTCACCTAGCACCTGGGGGAGTCGCGGCATCTTTTTTGGTTTTTTTTGAACCTCATGTAAGAAGTGACAGCCAGCATTTGAAGTCAGGTTGACTGACAGCTGCACAGGTGGGGGTGGAGCTTCCCTTCCCTTGGTGGAGAGAGCAGGAACCTGAGCGCGCTTCCGATCTCGATCTCGTTAAGGGATTAATTCAATCTGACAATCCTTGGGCCGGGGTAATTGACTTTGATGGCTCCCAGGCCGCACCACGTCCGCAGTAATGCGATAACAGCCCTGACGTAACAGGATTAGGTCTGACAGACCCGGGCGAGCCGGCACTGACTTCATCACGTTGTCATTTCACGGGGGAATTACGCCCATCCATTACGACTAACCTTCCAGGAAGCAGCGTGAAGGTGTGGCTGTGGGTGGCGTGGAGAGGACTCCGCGGGGGCCGGGTGGGGGTGCATGGGGCCAGGCCGCAAGGCTTGTCCCGGACGTCAGTCTCGGGGTCAGAGCGCTGAGCATTGTCACGAGGAAGGACCGCGGTCCCAGCTTGGCCCCGCTGGCCCTTGCGGCGCACCTGCCTCACGGGGCTCTGCTTCCAGGCGGGCGTGTGAAGACGTGGAAGCGGCGCTGGTTCATCCTCACGGACAACTGCCTCTACTACTTCGAGTACACCACGGTGAGTGGGCGCCGTGTCCCGCCCTGCCCGCCCCTGCCCTCCCCTGCCCTCCCCTGCCCTGCCCTGCCTTCCCCGCGCCCGTCCTGAGCCGCTGCTCCTGTCCTCCAGGACAAGGAGCCCAGGGGCATCATCCCGCTGGAGAACCTGAGCATCCGGGAGGTGGAGGACCCGCGCAAACCCGTGAGTGGCCGCCCTGCCCTCCCTCCCTCCCTCCCTCCCTCCCCGCTTCCCTCCCTCCCCGCTTCCCTCCCTCCCCGGCCCGGCAGCACAGTGACCCCCCCCCCCGCCCCTAGAACTGCTTCGAGCTCTACAACCCCAGCCACAAGGGCCAGGTCATCAAGGCCTGCAAGACCGAGGCGGACGGCCGCGTGGTGGAGGGCAACCACGTGGTCTACCGGATCTCCGCGCCCAGCCCGGAGGAGAAGGAGGAGTGGATGAAGTCCATCAAGTGAGTGGGCCTCGGGGCCAGCCAGGGGGCGCGCGTGCGTGGGGGTGGGCGTGCCGTGCACGTGGGTGGGCGCGCGCCTGCCGGCCGGCGTGTCACATTCTGCGTCTGGACCTTTTGTGTCCAGAGTCAGGTGGCAGCGCGGCCTCCGGCCTAACCCGCTGCGCGCCTCTCTCCGCAGGGCGAGCATCAGTCGGGACCCTTTCTACGACATGCTGGCCACCAGGAAGAGGAGGATCGCCAACAGGAAGTAGAGACAGCCGACCCAGACCCCGCAGCGGCCGGGATGGCGCTCACAGGCCCCAAACAGCCAGCCGTGGACCGAACCGCGGAACCCAGAGCCTCGGCTGTGGGCGGGGGGAGGTGGCCGGTCACTGTCACCATCACCGTCACCGCGGGACAGGCCAGAGCGGCCCGCGGGCTCCTGCGCCACTGCGACGGTCCCATCCCGCCCGCCCGCGCTGCGTCCTAGAAGCAAGCCGCCGGTTTTATATCGAAACGGGAAAGAAGCTACTGCTTTTTTATTCAGATTTTTTTCTCAGATATTTAGGATCATAGCTTTTATATGCCTTTTTATATCCTGAAGTTATGAAAGATACTTTGTAACGGTAGTATTTTTAGAATGGCAGCTATAAACGTAACTCCTGGACACGAGCTCGCCCTGTGCACTGGGGATGCTGTGTGCAGCGCCCGCGGGGGGACGGGGACCCGGCACGAGGCCGGGTCAGGTGCGGGCGGGCGGCCATGAGGACTCTCGGGGCTCCAGGTGTGACAGCTGCCCCTTCCTGCTCATGCTTCTCTAAAAATCATGAAAATTTATGAAAATGCCATGATTTGGGTGTTTATCCTGGGACATGGAACACTGCTGTCCCCCGCGACCCACATGAACCACGTGACACCGCTGGTCTCGGCCTAGTTCTGGCCCTGCCTCGTGGCTGAACCGATACGAGGCCCACTGGCTGTTGACAGCTTTGTTGCTGTGGAAAACCTTCACAAAAGGCTTAGGGGACTTCGTGACTGACCAGGTTTCCTCACGTAATGACAGACATATGAGGGACCAGAAATAATCCACCCTCTTCCTCTGGGGCGGCCATGTTCTCAGATTGGGTCACCCTTAAGAGGCGGGGGAGAGCAGGCTAAGGACGAAGGTGTGTGGCACTTGGAGACTTCTGTGACAGTGTAGAAGTCCAGCTCTATGCCGAAGCAGTTGTCCAGGGACAACCACTGGCCCCCGAGGGCATCAGGTGGCCATCGATGTTCAAAAGTAGGTGCTCAGGTTGTTTGCTGAAGGAAGGAAGGAGCCGGTGGGTGAGGCCAAGGACCCTCCTGTGCTTGCGAGCAACACAACTCGCAGGTGACACACAGGACCTGTTGGGCTGGCCCGCGGCCCCCCACAGGCCGGCGCAGCCCTGTGCGCAGGCGTGCTGGAAGCGGCACCCTAAGAGGCCATTTGTGCTGCCGTGCAGTGGAAGTGCGGGAGTGGGCCAAGGCCATGTGTGGCTGAGTGTCACCGCTCCTGCCCCTGCAGGATTGACCTTAATGGAGCTGATGGCACAAAGGGCCACAGAGGGGCCCCGGCCTGTTTCTAATTCCCAAGCTTTTCAATACCTCAAATCTGAAACCTTAGCGCCTGAGTGAGGTGGGCGGGCTCCCGAGCTGCCTGTGTCTATGCAACTTGGCCTCCAGTCTTCCGTGTGCCCCGCTGCCAGGACCCCAGCCACACGGACGGCGCTTCCTCTGTCTAACCCAGGTATGCCGCTGGGTACACAGCTGTCGCGGGTTGAGAGTAGTGAGGATGGATGGGGTCACCGGACGGTGAAACTTTAAAGCCATGGTCACCTGTGCGAGCTGCGCCCCCATGGATGTTCACCCAGGAGCGAGGCAGGCCGGGCTCAGAACTGAAGGCACGTGCGTGCCCTGATTCAGGGTTTGTGGTGACAGCATAACCCCAAGAGCACCAGCCTCCCTGCACCCCAACCCTGGGCAAAGTCGAGGGTGGCAGCAGCGAGGAGCAGCCACAGCCCCTCGCTGGGTGGACCAAGCCTGGCCTGTGACAAGCACCTGTCTTCTGTGGCCCAGAACCCTTTGGGGCAGTTTAATGTACCAGACCGAGTCAAAACAAACAGGGTGTTCACAGGCAAGTGGCCTCGAGGGTGTCCTGTAAAGCAGAGCCCATTGTCAGCGTCACGGGCAGGAAGCCCCAGTTGTGATTTCTCATCTTGTTTTCTTAGACATTTCTATTTACAGTACAGGAAACGCGTGAATGGTGTGCGTTTGTGCTGACCTCGGCAGTTTGCCGTGTACATACTCCACAACCCGCATGAACACGGAACCCATCTGAGGACTGTATCTTATTGCAGTGAACAGTTGGTAAAATTGGAGGGTGACGGCCGTCACGCAACTGCAAGTACTGTGTTCACTAAATAAAGCTGACAGTATCGCTGCAAGACTGAGCGTGGTTCTTCAATAGGTGACGGTGGCAGTGAGACGTGGGGACACAGGCGTAAGAAACCAGACACAGTTTAATTCGCTGCCATTTATATACTATAGAAATTTACATGCCGTCTATTTACAGTGGGGCAAGTGCTTTTAATCTTTAAAAAAACAAAGATCAAACTTTAGACATTTCTGAACAGCACAAACTGTATAAACCATACAGATTATTCGGACACTTCTGTACTCCATACAGTTCTCCCCACTCCGTCTCCTGATGCAGGACCAGTGAATTATAAGAGTATCACAGTTTGATAGCATATCCATATTAAAAATAAAATCACAGTATGATTTCTGTCTGTAACTAGAAACTTTAAGGGACCAAGCTGACAACTCAGACTCCAATATCAGTCAGGACGAGAGACGCGTATAAAAAGTGTAATAAAAACGCACTGAAGCCTTACATTCATTGAGTACTCGGAACCGCTAGCTGATTGACTGGAGTAGCTCCGCAAAGTTCGAAAACAGAACTTGGCTATAAAATCCATTTCAAATCTTGAATACAACTAAAATGTGAAGCAAATTAGTTTCTAGCGTCAGACGGCGCAGAAAACAGACTGCCCTCGGAAGCCGAGGCACGGGTGTGCGTTAACCAACTGCGCACATCAGTCTGGGCCTCGGACAGTCCCAGGGTGGCATTCCGGATGGCGCGCCAGGTGTCTACCGTGAGGAGCGTTACATGACACGAGAATCAACCTGAGTCTGTAAGTGAGCAGCATCGAGATGGTCTATTCCAGGGCGTTGTTCAGTGTGGCCTATGTACACGGTATTTACAGTGGTCAGCAGTTGTACAAAGTTCGTCCATTTGGAATAAGGGCAATTAAGAAAAGGTAAAAACTAAAAAAAAAAAGTCCATGGTAAAATCTGTACAGTATTTACTAAAGAAGCACCACGCAGTTTGAACAGTTATTTTCTAGGTTGATAATTTAAGCTGGGTTGGGGATGGCTTCTGTTAAACACGTTGAATCTGAAAGACAAGAGGGAGGTGTCAGTCTGGCAGGGGCCCCCCAGGTCCATACGAAGCGCCCCTCCCTTCCTTCAAAGGCTCTGCCTCCGTGAACCCAGGGAGGCGCCATCTGCTGGCCCCACATGAGCACCGTGAGCACCGCGCTGCGCAGCACGGCCTGGGCGTCGCCTGCAGGCTCCGCAGCTGTGGACAGCTCGCTCTCAAGTTCGTTTAAAACCCTCTGCCGATCCGACCCCACACATCTGGACCGTCCTCCTTTCAAGGGCCAAATGGTTCCTGGCCGCTGTGCTCCACTGGACTGGCCTGTGGGTGGCCTGAGCCGAAGCTGAGGAGGAAGAGGACGAGCCACCCCAGGGCCCTGGTTTGATTCAGAATCAAAACCCCATCCCTGTGTCCCGCAGTGCTTCTACAAACTACTACTACAGGACAGACAGACAGGAAAACGGCTTACCGTAACTAGTGACGTTTTTGTTTTGAGGCCAAGATTTCAATCACCTGGAAGGGAAAAGTTAAATCTTAATAAAGCCTGGGCTATGTGCGTAAGTGACCCGAGTCCGCTGTGTATAGTTCCATGTCAGTCCCCTAACGTCACTCTGCATGAGGACATGCGAGCCTCAGCATGCAGCTGCTTCTCCATGAGTCGGCTGAAAACGAGGCCACTGGTCCCTGCAGAAAGCTGTGCCCCAGCCCACAGGCCCCTGCAACAGGTCAGCTTTGGCCCCACGCTGCTGTGCTCAGGAGCTGACGGTGGGCAGTCGGGGACAGGCATATGGGGAAAGCTAAGCAGCCAGGGCTGAACGAGATGTGGCACACAGGCCAAGCAGGTGGCCCCATGCCTCTGGGTCACAGGCTGTCACTCAGAGCCAGCCGTGTCGCACCTGCAGAGAGCAAGGGCAGGGGCCCTGGCAAACACTGTTCCAGCATCTCTGGGGTGCCGCTGCCTTGGCAGGATGGAGATTTTGGTAGTAAGTTGGGGGCCCTGCTCAATAAATCCACCTCCCTACTTAATTCCTCAAGGGCCCCGCCAAGTTCACGTGGAACCGATCTTAAATGTGCATTACTGATTTCTTAAACACACACCGCAACAGCACAGCTTCCACGCCCCTCCTGCGTGGCCGCCCCAGCACCGCTGGCTCCCGCCTTTCGCTCTGGGGACCACAGGTCCTGCAGTCAACTGCAGAGGGCCGCCCTCCCCAGCCTCCCGCACATAACCCACGTTCAGCCAAGCGCAGGGCCAAAAGGCCACAGGGCCACCGAGATGATGTGTCCTTGTGCCACACAGTGGCGTGTTCATGAAGGTGAACCTCAGAGTTGGGCAGGCGTGGCAAGCATCTTCTAAAAAGGGCAGATGACAATCACTTTCATTTGGAGGGCCGTGTGGCCTCAGTGGCACTGACGCACACATGCGGAGCGGCACCAGCGCGGCAGCAAGCGCACTGATCACAGCCCGGCGTGCGTGTGGAACAGGTTCTCTGGCACTGTTAGGGTGAAGCCACTCCAACCCTGCACGTCAGGCAGACAGGTGCTGGGCTGAGGCCACAGGTGTCGACCTCTGTCCTGGCCTGCGGGCTCTCCCACCACATCCGCTTCTAACAAACTCAGTGATCCTGGCCAGGGACAAAGGTCACTAGAAGCCACTCAGAAAGAGGCAGGGCAGTCCGAAGTGCTGTCAGAGAGCTACTCAATTACCAGGAATGCAGTCTGCAAACAAGACACCCAGCAGCCCGGAGTGTGCCAGGATGGCAGGAGCCAGAGCCCCATAGTGCAGGCGCCTAAGCGTTACTGTGGTGGGGACCGGCACAACACGGCTTTCTCGTAACTTGCTTTTTCCCAGAGTTGGGGTTTGACCCCAGGTCTTATCCTTGCTAAGCAAACACTCTACCACGTAAGCCAAGCCCCAGCCCTTCTGCTTTCGTTTTTCAGGTAGGGTCTCGTGCTTTTGCCTGGACTGGCCTCAGACCACAGTCTTCCTACCTCTGCCCCACAAGGTGCTGGGATTACAGACATGAGCCTCCACACCCAGACCTGACCATGAATAAATCTAACGACCCAAGGCATCAAATCATGACTCAGATACTAAGTTATACTCATGATGCTGTAAGGATTCAGGAGGTAAAACAAATAATGCAAAAATATTTCTATGAAAGCTGCTTTAAAAACAGCGTTCCCTTGCGAGGCAAACCCTCACGGTGCCCAGGCTCCAAGTTACACAGGCCCTGCAGGGCGCGGTTCCACGCTGCACAGGCCAGGAACCAAAAGCACACAGCCCACCACCGCCTGGGCCAATCACACTGAGCCCGCAGGGGAGGCTGGGACTTTTTACACCCTCGAGTCCTCTCCCCGCATGTTAACCACCTTTGCAAAATAACTCACTGAAAGAATCCCCAGCTTCGCAACTGTGAGTGCCGCCTCTTACCCTGGCCATACTCAGACAGACGGCACCTGTCAGCCCTGCTCTCCATCCTCAAATGCTCTGTCTTCTGCTGGAAAGGGCCGGCGCCCTCCAGAAGCAGGCCGTCAGCGAGGAGGAAGCCGGCTTCCGCCCTGCGGAGGTGGCCCACAGCCTCATAGCTCGCGGCCTTCCCCAAGCGCAGCTCCACCTCTTTGCCAAGGTCCTCTGACTTTCTCGAATGTCTCTTCTTTTTCTTCTTCTTTTTTCTGTGTCTGTGGAGGTCAGCATCCGAGTACGACACTGACAGATCAGAGTCCTGCTGGTGCCTGCAGAAGAAGCAGCCAGAGTTCAGGCAGCGGGAAAGCAGAGCCACCTCAGGCAGGTGTAGCACTGCTCCATGTCACTTCCCCAGGACACAAGTGTGGCACACAGCAAAATTCTATGCCTAAAAATGTCATTTGTCTCACTAAAGTTAAATTTTTTTTCTTTTTTAGACAGGGTAGCCCAGGCTGGCCTTGAATTTGTGCTCCCGGGCTCAGCCTCCCAAGTGCTGGGATTATAGGTATGACCACCACGCCTGGCTTCACTGTAATGGTCTTTCAAGCCCAGGGTCATAAATTCATCACCTTCAACTCCACCACTGGAGTTGTGTTCAGGGGTTGTGCTGTTGGTCAGGACACCCAGGGGGGACTTGGCTAACTGTCCCTGACACCAGTATTTTGCCATGTGTCTCGTGGATCCCCCAAGGACCCACTACCTATTTACATTGGGCACCTGCCAATCCTCTCCCAGGGTTTTAATTTTAAGGGATGCCAACTAAAATATATAGCCATGCATGCCATCATGGATCATTTTCAAGATGATAGCTAACCAATTTAGCTTTTTAAATTACAAAGAACATTTAGCTATCCATGTGAGAAACTGAGACAGAAAAATGAAAGCTGAGATGTAAGTGACACAGCTCATACCTACACCCTGGGCAGACAGCAAAAGAACCACGGCCTGCCACCTGCTGCTACCTTGTAGTCGCTAAGTGTGAAGAAAGCAAACCTAATCTGAGAAGCCGATCTGAAAGTCTGAGACGGACACTGCGCACACCAAGGAGTTGGGAACCACTGACGCGAAACGGCAGCATTGTTTGAAGGACTGTGACACCATAAAGTAAGACCTGGCTTGAAAGCTGTGTTAAGTTCTAGAAATGTCCAAAAGTAGTGAAATTTCAAAACTCACAGAGGTGGAAAATACACATGGAACTGGTGGTGTGACCCAGCCCTTCACCGGTTTTGCTAAAGCCCATGCCAGCTGTCCCACCAGTGCCCACCCCGCCCTCGCCGCCCTCACCTGCAGCTGCGATCGCGGCGTCTGTCTTTGGATTTCTTTTTCTTCTTTGACTTTTTGTGTTTCTTGGCCCTGGGCTCTTCTGAAGGCTCCTTCTGCAGGCTCCTGCGGGCCTTCTCCAGGTGGCTGTCATGCTGGTCCACACTCTCGTACCGCCGTTTCCGGGCCTTTGCACTTTCGTGTTCGTGAAACCGCTCAGAGAGACTGCAGCTGCTGCCCTCAGCTCCGGCTCCGAGGGCCCCTTTTTCCTGGGGGTGCCTCTCGGGGTGCAGAGACAGGGCGGGGGCCATGCCCGATCGTGGGCTGTGGAAGCCATGCCGCTCCTTGGCCCTGGCCAGCTCCCAGCCCTTGCGGCCCCAGTAGCAGTCCTTGTGTGGCCGAGTGGGCTGTCCTGTTCGGTCGTGCTCCCGGCCATGCTGAGGCCGCCACTCCCGCACGTCCCGGGCCGTGTAGGGGACGTACCTGTCATGGTAGTACCTGCATTTGCTCCACCGCATCTTCTCGGGATAGAATTTATCCCGGCCCCAGATGTGCTCACTCTCCGCGTGGTGGAACCGGCCCCAGTCCTGGTCTGGCCCACTGCGGTTTCGTGAGTGGTGGTGGCTGTAGCAGCCCAGTGAGCGGCGCTCCCCGAGGCTGCCCCTGTCGCCGTGGCTGGCCAGGAGCTGGCCCGCGGTGCAGTGCTCGGGTGGGTGGCGCTCGGGCTTGGCCCTCTCCCTGCTGTAGCGCCGCCCCTTGTGGTAGCGGTCCTCTGTGCAGCTGCGGCTCTCCCGGACGTGCTCGCCACTGGAGGACCGGTCCCTCCAGTCTCTCCGGCTGCGGTAGTGTCCCCGGTCAACCTTCCTCAGGCTGATTTTCTCCCTGGCTGGAGGAGCCGGAGCTCTCGGCCCTGCCTCAAGGCTCGAGTCAGGGCTCTGTGGGGCACCCCCTTCTGAAGGGACGCCCGCAGTCCTGTCTGGCTGAGTACAGGGCATCACGGTCACGGCCATGGCAGCGCCCGGGGCTCCGGCGGGCTCCCCCGCAGCCTGGCACCCATCTCTGCTGAGGTGAACCAGGAGCTGAGGCTCACAGCTGTCATCCGAAAGTGCCACGGGGGCCAGGCTCCACCGCTCCAAGACGGCCGCAGGTATGGAGTCCCGAGGGCTCTCTGGGAGCATTCCTCTCCCCTCTGGGGACAACTGGCTGGGGTCCTTTGCCACATTCCCAGAGTCACAGAGTTTGGGAACTTGTTCGTCCCCTGTGCTACCACTGGTGGGGCCAAAGAGATTGGTGACAACAGACAGAGATTCGTCAGGCTTGGCCAAACCAACTTCAGAGAGGTCTTCTTTGGTAGAGGTGATGCTGGGGTCACAGGACAGCAAAGCCTTGAACATGCTGCTCAGGCTGGCGACTCCCTCCAGGGTCTCAAGGGCAGCAGCTGGGGTGCCGGCAGGCTCGAGCTCGGCAGGGTCCTCCGCAGGACTTCCCTCTGCTCGGGGTGGACTACAGTCCCCACAAAACACAGAAACACTGAGTTAGCTGGACTGCCATGCAGCCTTTGTATTGGCTGACATTTACTGAGTGTATTTCTAACGTCAAGTACGTGTGGCTGACACCCAGTATGGAAGCCAAGTTTCTTTTCCCCTCGTGGTATAAAAATGAAGTTTTTATCAGGCCACCTCCTAGCTGCTTGTCAGGAACAGTAACTCTACCGTTCTAGACTTGTCCTCTTTCCACACCCATGGTCCTTCCTTTTTTCCCCTTTGGCAGCATTGGAGCTCACACTTCCTAGGCTGGTGCTGTACACCTGGAGCTACACCTCAGCCCTTTCTGCTCTGGTTATATTTGAGATGGGGGTCTCACTTTATGCTCAGGCTGGCCTGACCATGATCTTCCTAACTTATGTTCCCAAGTAGCTAAGATGCCCTCCCCTGGCTTCTTAGCTGAGATGGGGTTTTGCTAACTTTTTACCCAGGCTGCTCTCAAACCACAATCATCCTGAGCAGCTGGAATTACAAGCATGCCTGGCTAACTCTTCTTTAGCACTAAGTCTGAACAATAAAACCCAAATGGCGATGGTGCCAGCGTACTTCTCTGTATCTTGCAGCCTCACGGGCAGAGCCTGGGGGCTCCCTGACACTTTGGGTGAAGACTCTAGTAGTTCCCTCTGCTCTTGGAAGCTGGACAGCTCCTGACACTTGCTCAAGGTTAGTGACAGCTGCTAGAAATGAGAAGGCCCGTAGTGGGGGGGGTGCTAGCCTGTATGGAGCCACAGTGGGAAACTGTATTGAGTAGGGGAGGGTTCTCCGTGTGGCTACGGCACACACATGGCCGGGTTTTGGCCACCTGCAGTAACCCTTGTCTACCTTCAGTGTGAGGAGTTCTAAGCTAGACTGGCAAGAACCAGGAGGAAGTCGCTGTGCACGTGACCGAGGGCCCAGCACTTCTATCTCCCAGGTCAACTAAGAACAAGCACCCTTTGCTGGCAGGCCATTCCATTGTAACAGCTAGGTCTCCCTAACAAAGGTGCTCCACCTGCAAGAGGCCATTTGGTTGCCACAGTGATGGGGCATCCCCCTGCCATTGGCTATTCCACACCACGTCCTCACGTCCAGGGGTCAAAGACTCCAGCGACATTAATGTCAGTTCTCACACAGACACCACACTTCCGAGGAATCCAGCTACCGTGTAAATTGAAAGACGAGCACACAGTGATTTAGTTAAAACCTCACCAGAGTCTGGCACCCTTGACGGCAAATCTGCACATGGCATTTAGTGGGCATGCGAATCTCGAGTGCGGTCTACGCATGGTGTTCTCGGTGAGCCTGCGCAGACGCAGACGCAATCCACTGACCACCACGACCTGCAGCAGGGTGCTCTCACTGGGGTTCCATGCGGGAATCACCATCGCTGCACTTCACCTTCCCTCCCTGCCGTTCCTGAGCTACATCACAGTCACTGATTTTTTTTTAATGCAGGTAGGGGCAGGCTGAATTTAATCTCCAGTTCCTTGAGTGGCCCTTATAAAATACTTGCTTTGTGATACAATTGAGAATCCTTCCCTGTAACCTTAACATATCTTCATGTTCTTGCTCCTAATTAAAAATTGAACTTGACAAGTGTGCCAAGAACATAGGAGAATCCTGCATTTGTGGCTGGCCTGGGCTGCACGATGAGACCGTCTCCAAAAAAAAAAAAAAAATGCCAGCAACACACTGCTCCCCAGAACAGAGGCCACACAGAAGGTGAGCTCAAGCACACCAGGTTCTTGGACTGACTTTTCTTACTCTCCTGACCCTTACTCAAGTCATCTCGGGGTCTTGGCACGCATCCGGTCCTGAGATTATTCTAGAGTTAGCCCTGAATGACACAGCCAGGCACGCCTGGCTTCCTCCCGCTCTATTCACCGTTTTACCTCATTTCATCCGCAGAGTCTTTGACTTTGTTGCTAAGTTTGAAGGTCTCTAAGACTGTGTCTTCTGGGAGAGATGGCAAAGGAGCAGGTATCAGCTGCAATGGAAAAAGACACGTTTCACTGCAGCTGCCAGCCCCACCCACCACCCGGCCAAGGGACCTGCCACAGGCAGGCTTGCAGCAAAGCCTCCGCTCACCTTTCCGGGAAGGCCATTTGCTTTGGAAAAGGGATTTTCTGCATGTAGAGGGGGCTGCACTTGGCAACTGACCGTGTCCAATGACAGGCCGTTTTCTTTCAGGTCACAGTCTGCACCATTAGCACCATTGATAGGTTCTGGCGGCTCATGCCGCGAGGCCTCACTGTTGTCAGCCTGCTGACCAGCAGTGTGAGAGCTCACTGCGGGGCCCATGCCGTTTTCCTTGGCCAGGCCCTTGGACTCCTCGTCTGACTCTTCAGAGGACTCGGCGCCATAGGGGACCAGCACGCTGGAGCTCAGCTTGGACATGCCGTTCATCACTGGCTGTGCACAGGACTCACTCGGGGAGAGCGGTTTTGCTACTTTGCTAGAAACTGATATCGTGGATGCACTCGAGGTAGACTGAATTGCAGAAGTGGTAATGGTAGAAGAGGGAACAGGCTTGCTGGGAGCCTCCAAAGAATTGCTATGCAGGTTTGGCTGAGCCTGACCTTGGCGAACAGGCAACTTATTGTGAATACTGATGGTGATTTTTTGTTTCTTGGGGTGTTCTGGAATAACTGAGGGCCTGTTCACTGACCAGTTTTGAACAGAAGTGGAAGCATTCACAGGACTAGTCCTGTTGATGCTAGGATTTCCGTTAGGACTTGACATGGAACTGCTGGGCGTGTCCTTCAATGGTCCAGTCCCATTCAAGTGAGGTGGATTCTGCAGAGAAACACAGCTGCATCAGTGCTCCAGAAACAGGGACCCCTGTGGCTGAGAGCTTTGGTCTTGGTTCTGGCTGGCAATCCTCATCCCCCAACTCCTCCCTTTTCTTTCATCAGCTCTATCCACATGCACCTTTCACAGGCCCAAGCCTCCTGCAATAAGCCAACAAATGGGACCAATATGTCTGTCACAACACAACCCCCAGATCAACTTCTGTTCCAAATCTGACAGAGATGGCCAAGCCCCTGAGGACATGCAGTCACCTGTGTCCTGCTTGGTGTGTGCAGGTCAAAGGAAGTGCCAGGAAGCAGGAATCACCACTGGCCTAGAAGCACGGCAGAGCATCCCATGGACAGACACAGGGTGGCTGCTTCACACCCTGTCTTAAGGTGCCACATCCCTGCCATCCCCCACAATGTCCTGTTGCTCCAGGTTCCGCTACTACTGCTGACCCTGTGCTGACCCTGCAGAGAGCTGAGCTAGGCGAACCATGTCTGACCCTCAAGATGTTTTCTTACACATCCAAATTAGTTACTACCTAAACACTGCTGTGCTTCATGGCAAATGTCAACCAACCAAATGGCTCCTGAAAACCCAGCTGCTGCTGGCCCTCACGGGGCTTGGACCCTGTGTTTCAGCACCTTGCTGCCACTCTACCCAGCTAACGTAGAGGCTGGTTGCCTGTCCAGTTCACAGTGTGCTGAATTAAAATTCTGCCCACTGACCATTGAAGAAAAGCAATCAATCAACCTGAGAATTCCAATCAAACTCAAACCAAGAGAAACTGCTGTAAAACCCTAAATATCACACACAGCTCAGTGCAAGATGCAGCCAGGCCGTGTGCATCTCCTTGGAGCCAGGTAAGTCAGGCCTCACTTGCAGACCTGTGTGTGTGACACTGGCACAAGCTGGTCCCAAGAGGACAGCCAGGAGCATGATCACACCAGGAGGACAGCAGATGGAAACACTGCACACCCTCAGACAGCTGCATAGTTTGGTGAGCATGTCCCTGCAAACTGTCATTTTGCTGGGGTCCAACATTGATTAAGAACCCAAAAGTCTAACTCCTGAGTAGCGAGGGTGTCTAGAGTGGGAGCTAACATGGGAAGCCACCCAGACCAGCTTCTGGGTTACTCCAACGGTCCCCAGCTTTCTGTATATTTGCAGTCTTTTGTAAGAAAGGGCTTGAGTAAACTTTTGCCAAGAAAAACTCAGTTGTAGCTGAGGATACGGCAATTTCAGCAGTGTTACTACCTGAAGGCTGAGGCACGACTCTGAAGTGACATAGAAGTGTTACCTTTATCACATGAGAGGGAAGCTGTGGTCCAATAAACCCTGGCGCAGCCTGCTTATTGGTGACAACACGCTGATTGATTCCAGGGCGGGGAGAGGACTGGCCAGGGCTGTGGGTGGAATGAGGAAGTTCACCTCCATTTTTCACATCATGGGACCTGGAGACAAAGAGTGACATGGCTTAGGGTGACAAAGCCATCTCCTTAGAAGAGATTCATTTACAACTTCAATAGCACTTTCCTGCTCAGACAGGAAAGACGGAAGAACAGTGCTTTGCTCTCCCTGCACAGAGCTGCCCATCACCTGGTGGAGATGGAGGCACTGTCTGGCACTCAGCTCAGGACAAAAGGGGCAACTGGGAAAAGGAAATCCACTGACAAAGTATATACTGTGCTCTGAGGATGCTGTATCTGAAAGCTGCTTTTCTTGCCTGCTTATACTTTTAATCAGAAATATATACCATGGTAGAATAATATCTGTTAGGTGCAAAGGAGTTAGGAAGAAAGCCCTGTCCCTAACCTCACCCCTTAAGAGGTGCCCCCATTTGGCCTTACAGGGTCACCCCAAAGGCCTGTGTCACACTGTACCAGCAACAGTGTTCAATATTCCAAGATGCTTTCCCTCCACGCTTACTCAGCACTTCCCCAGAGCATTAAAGAAACAATAAAACAAAACAAAAAAAGGCTTCATGAAAATCACTCAGCATGAGGACTGAGGCCACCTGGAGCACAGTAGAAAGACCCCATCTCAAAGAGATAAAAAAATCACTCTAAGAGTTACAGCCTACTTTAGCACTTGGAACTGATCACCTGCCACTGCTGGTAACCTTAATTCTCTGTTCTTATACAGGGACACCTGAGTGAGGTGTGGTGCATGCCTGTAACCCCAGATGCTTGGGAGGTGGAGCTGGAATATTGCAGTCCAGGGCTGGACCCAGAAAAAGAGCAAGACCCCCATCTGAAAACCAATCTGAACACAAAAGGGCTAGGGTATGGCTCAAATAGTAGAGAATTTGCCTGACAAGTGGGAGGCCCAGAGTTCATACCCCAGGATTACCTCCCCCATTCCCAACAAAAAAAAGGAATTAGCTCTGGTACAGTGCTTGAGGCCCTGGGTTCAATCACCAGGAGTATTTAAAAAAAGAAAAAAGAGCGGGGGAGCAGATCCCTTAGAGCATACATTAGCTTTTTTTTTTTTTTTCCCCAAAAATGGAACTGATGACTCAGTCTGTGGCCACAACAGGACAAAGCTGGGCACATGGGTGCCTGACAGGTAGCCTATGCTCAGTGGTAGGGAAGTGCCACTGTGACCATGCAGGGAGCTGAGCCCCCTTCCCACAACCTACAACCTTCCCCCGTGAACCCCAGGCCCATCCAGCTTGCTGCCAGCACAAGCCCCCTCCTAGGCTGCCTCCTTTCCTTCCCTCTGCATCTTTCAATGGTGAGCTGATACAGAGCTGAAAGCCACAGAAAACTCATAACCCCTGCTCAGAAACAACCTTCTTAATCTCCAGGTATTCATGTTTTTAAGTTCCTATTTTTAAAAAATTGAATTTAAACATGTAAGAAACAACGTTAACAGAAAAGTTGGCGGCATGTTTTCTCAGCCATACCTGATGTAAAAGAGCACATAAGCTTGCTGGCTGAGCACTGATCTAATATCGCTGGTGGACACGATGGAGTCATTCATTTGATACCAGAGGCCATTGCTAGCCTGCAACAGAGCCAGAGAGAGATCCGGTCACATGAACAAGGAACACAGTCGAGAGATAGGTAAGAAAAACAGGCGCTCACACTTTAACTGTGATGGTTCCAACTCCCACCCCCAGACTGCAAGTGCCGTCGTCTGGTGTGCGCGCTCACCTTTATGTAGCAGAAGTAATGGCCCGCGTGGCAGTTGAAGCCAGTATGTACTAGCACTGCATACAAGACATAAATAATTGGCTCTCCATTGGGTTGTGACATGTACGGCCGAATGTCAAGGTACTCGGGGTATTTCACATCCTAAAACAGAAACGAAAGAGGAGAAAACGTGACCTGTGGGAGCACAGACTGTCCCACATACATAGTCACAGGGTCTCACGGTGTCCCAGGAGGAGACCTAGGGGACACTGCACCCTGTGGTGCTCTGGCAGAAACCACCTTTCTAGGGACCCCAAGTCCAGGTGCATTCAGGTAGTCCCACTGTCTCTTACTTCCCTTAAACAAGGGAGGATCACAGTAAGTGAGTTCTCCAAACTCATCAAAGGAGACAGTCACAGAGGTAGTCATTAATCACCACTTTTTATTGAAGTGATTCAGGAATGCATTATTATTTCTCTCACATGCTACTGAACTTTTCAGTCTTTACTAAGTGAAAAGAAAATGGTCAATGAGTGAATGGTGAAAACCAGAAAACAACAAGAAAAAGAACTCTGATGAAAAAGTGGCAGTAGGGAAGTCCTCTTTGGATTTCTAATTGCTCAAGATCTCCCTAGATGAAGCCCAAATGCACAGAGCAGTTACCAATTCAATCACTAGAGAGCCCAGCTGGCTAAAGGACACGGTGGAGACCCTTACCCCACACACTCAATTCCTTGAACTTTTTTCTGCTACTAAACACTAGAAGAGCTTAGAAAACAGACCAGCGGACAGCTTGATGAGGCCTCCATAAAAGGTTACTAATAACATCATCTACACACCTTAGCAATTTTTCCACCAGTAAAGTTTGCAAAGCGTTTCAGAGAAAGTGTGAGAACATTCGAGGATCTATGGATGGTGAACCTCTTCGAAGCTGGAACCATCTTTTTACACCTGGAAATACACATAAAGGATAGGAAAGTTAATGTGTTTAATTCTAGGTGTTTCAGTCTTTCCTTTGTTGTATTCTAAGTTAAGATTCCAGGCCTATGATGGTAGCTCATGCCTGTAATCCTAGCTACTTAGGAGGCAGAGATCGAGAGGACTGTGATTCAAACTCAGCCTAGGTTAAAAAGTCCAAGATGTCCCATTTCAAACGATGGCTCAGTGCCATGGAGAGTGGCTGTCACCCCAGCTACATGGGAAGCATAAACTAGAGGATCACAGTTTAGGCATGCCCAGGCATAAAGCAAGACCCATCTTAAAAATAACCAACACAAGCTGGCACCAGTGGCTCACACCTGCAATCCCAGCTACTCAGGAGGCAGAGATCAGGAGAATCACAGTTTGAAGCCAGCCAGGGCAAATAGTTCAAGAGACCTACCTCGAAAAAACCCATCACAAAAAAAACAACACAGCCGGGCACTTACCAGTGTACTCATGCCTGTAATACTAGGTACTTGGGAGGTTGAAATAGGGAGTGTCGAGGGCCAAGGCCAACCCAGGCAAACAGTATGTGAGACCACAAACTGTTCAAAATAACCAGAGCAAAATTCCAGTCCCACCTAGGGGAAAAAAAAAGACTAACAGAGTGGCTCAAGTGCCTGCCTAGCAAGCACAGGGCCCGAGTTCAAACCCTAGCACTAGAAAAAAAAAAAAAAAAGATTCCAAAGCAAGGATACTAGATGAGAAACACCCCTTAGGTCAGCAGTGAACACACTAAGATTAAAAATTTGGGGGAAGATGAGGATGTGGTGCAGTGGTACAATACTCTGGTACCACAAAAGGTGCTGTAATCCCTCCCAGCACTCGGGAGGCTGAGGCAGGAAGACTCTGAGGTCAAGGTCAGCCTAGGCTACACAGTGAGACCTGTCCCAAATAAAAAAAACAAGGTAGGACAATTCTGAAATAGCAGGTCACAACACAGGCCACCAATAATAATAAATAGGCTAACTCAGGCTAGAGGTAGGCCTCGGTGGAGCACTTGCCTATAGCATGCATGAAGCCCTGGGCTCAACCTCTACATACACGACTCCAAAGTGAAAATCTACATAAAGCATAGAAGTGACCCTCTCTATGTACTACAGAATAATCTAACATAAAAGGTTTCCAGCAGATACTCCCATACCCTGGGTTTCCACCACAACACAAAGATCCTGATTGGGAAAAAGTGACATCACTATTTCAACCCTTTTCTAACAGGGAAGGCAGGGAAGATGCCCTCAGCAGACATGTCACCCCATGCTGTGTGCACTATCCTGGAGCAGTACTAATGTGTGACGTGTGGATCTTACTTTGCTTTCTTCCACCCAATTGACCTCATAGTGAGGTGCCACCTCCCAAGGACACAGCGCTCCCATCTTCAAAGAGTGCACACACTCATGCTGCCCACTGTGGCCTCTGGAGGAGACCCGTGCCTACCCGATGGCACCGGAAGCTAAAAGCAAACAGGCAGCCAGTGAGACCCACCAAACTCTCTCCAGTCAAGTTTCCTGCCGCCCACACTGGAGCAGCTGGCAGCAAGGATTAACAAGTCACGCCCCTCCCAATCGTACTTGCTGCACTTATAGGAGTTTTCTCCATCCAGCTGTTCCGGCTTCACAAACTGCTCCAATGCCTTGTTAACACTCTGAGCAGCCTGGGAAGGAAAGGCATAAACACCACATCACCACACACCGCCACTGTGCTGGGGGTGGGGCGGGGCATGCGGGCAGAGACAGCATACGCAGAAGACTCAGACAGAAAGCAGATGGCAATGTTTTGTTTTTGTGGTACTGGGGCTTGAACTCAGGACCTCATGCTTGCCAGGCAGGTGCTCTACCACTTGAGCCACTCCACCAACAACAATATTTTGTAAAAACTTTTTTCTTTATGATGATATCCACTTTTATACATCTACCTACCAAATTATCCCCCTCCCATTAAAAAACAAGCAGGTTAAAGAAAACAAAAAATAGCTGGGCACCAGTGGTTCACACTGTAATCCTAGTTACTTGGGAAGCTCAGATCAGAATTGCAGTTTGAGGCCAGCCTGGACAGTTTGTGAGACCCTCAAAGTAAAAACAGACTGGAGATGTGGCTCAAGTGAGAAGCCCTGAGTTCAAACTCCAGTCCCTCCAAAAAAAGTAAAATAATATATGTCTTGAACATAGTGGTTCAAGACTGTAATCTTAGCTACTTGGAAGGCGCAGATTGGGAGGAACATGGTACAAGGCCAACCCAAGCAAAAAGTTCACAAGACCCCATCTTAACCAATGCGTGGGCATGGTGGTGCATGCCTGTCATCCCAGCTACATGAGGAAGCATAAATAGGAAGATAGAGTCCAGGCCAAACCAGGTACACAGCAAGACCTTGTCTCAAAAATAACCAATGCAAAAAAGCCTGGCAGAGTGACTCAAGTGGTAGAGCTCCTCTCTAAGCAGGCTCAAGGCGCTTAGTTCAAATCCCAGTACAGCCAAAATATAAAGAGGCTGCTCACTGCAGCTTTACTTAGAATAGCATAAAGGTAGAAACCATCAAGGAGCCAGGCATATACACTCTGGTACACCCACTTACTGGATGGTCACCCGAATGCCAAGAACCAAGGTCTCCAAGCAGAATTAAATAAAATCAGCAAGCGGACAAGCAGGCTAAGGCATAATCCCATTATAAAAAGTAAACTACTCTGGAGCAGAACAAATCAAACTACTAAAAGAATTAGTTCTGAGTGACAGGTTTGACATATTTCTTCAGTGCTTCCTTTTTTTCTTTTTTTTTTTTAAATCATAGGCACATACTACATCTGTAATCAGAAATATAAAAGCTCAGCCTGACGATGTGGGTCAAGTGGTTGAGCCCCCAGTTCAAACCCGTGTACCAACAAAAATAAAAAGGAAACAACAGATAAAAAAAGGAAGAGGAGTTTAAACAATTAATTCAAGAAGCAAAGCCATTTCTAAAGAAGAACCATCTAAGCTTGGCTGACACAGGCATCAAAATCTAGTTTCATTAATAGATTTATTAGGTGACCAGGGTGAGGCCCTGAGTTCAAACCCCAGTGCCATCCAGGAAACAAACTTAGTAAGTGAAAAGTCAAAGGGTGGGAAAAAGATTTTCCACTTAACCACCACGATAATGATCAATTTACCTTTATCTCCAATGTTATATCGAGATATGGATCAAAAGTATCCGAAACACCCTTGCAATTTAAACATTTCACTGAAACAAAAATAAAATGCAAAAATAAGTAAACTGTAATGACAGCAAGGACAAAGTATTAAAATGACAGACTATAACTACTATTTCAAAATTTAAAAAAGTCTAATTTTTCTTCCATTTGATTGGGCAAAAATCTTTTTAAGGTAATCTTACACACAGTGTGAGTGAAAGGGCCATAAATTTGGCCCCACATACACTATTGGTCAGAGCATAAACGGGTATGACCTTTTGGTTAAAGTTTACTAAATTTTAAAAATTTATAAAATTTATTAAAGCTTAAAGTACACACTATGATCCAGAAATTCTAATAAAAGAATTTTTCCTGCACATATACTTTTCCACAGACTAAAAGATGTTCAGTGAAGCACTGGTGGTGCTAACAACAACAAATTAGGAACCTAATATTCCTCAGAGGGAAATAAAATAAAAATGGTACCATCACAATTGTGAAAGATTCTGTCAGGCCTATCTGTGCTGAAATATTAAAAGATTTCTGATCTTAGGAGAAAAACAAAAGTATTATACATAGGACACCCCACTTTGCTGATGCTTAAGAAACTGCCAGAAGGATATACTAAGAACCGGTCGGTCCCAGGACTGCCTTTGGGGGGAATCTGGAATGACCCAGAGGTCTAGTTTTCATTACTGGCTTTTTCCTCCTATTTGCATTTTTTAAAACCACATGCACATGTCACTTTATCAACTTTCAAAAAAACGCTTACCTCTAGATCGCAGGTATCCTCCAAATATCTGACAAACGAGTGTCGTGGCTTGAGTGTGTCTGTCTAATCTGAAAACCAGTGAAACAGTGATATGAGAGATTCTGCAAAGTTTTCAGATGTTATGACCAGACTTTAAAAGCACACGTTTATAAAAGAACAAGAATTCACAGAGAACCACAAAACTAAACAGACATCAGTACGTGTGCCCGCCAGAGACCAGCACTGTCTGACAGAATACGGTGAGGGTTTGGCAAGAGGACAGAAGGAAGTGGATTTGAAGGGATTTGGAAGTCAAAGCAGCAAGAGGAAGATGCTCTCAGCAAGCGTATGACCTTGCATGGGAGGAAGACTAGGGAAAGGCAAAGTGCCTTCCTTTGTCCCCAGCTTACGGTCAACTGGATAGACCATGAAGACCCAGAATGCAAATGGAACACAAAAACAGATGCAGCATGTATGGGGACACAGCAGGTGGGTTAGAGGCTACTGCCCAGTTGTCTCCCAGTCTTCCTCTGCAGTCTGCACTTAGATTTGGGGAAGAAGCTATCAGAACTGGTAACTGATGGAGAGGGAGAGGGGTGGCGGCAGGAAACACACAGATTTGAGGATGAAGGTCAACAGAGAAAATGCCAGGCACAACTAGAAAGGAGAAGCAGCTAGGTTTACATCTGCCGAGGTATGCAGATACTCAGGAAAAAATGCAATAACAAGGTCAACCCAAACTGCTATAGAAAGCCTATCTTTTTAAACTGCTATAGAAAGCCTATCTTTTTAAACTGCTATAGAAAGCCTATCTTTTTAAACTGCTATAGAAAGCCTATCTTTTTAAACTGCTATAGAAAGCCTATCTTTTTAAACTGTAGCTGTTTTAAAATAGCACACATCAGCCAGGGAAGAGACAGTGCAAAGCCCAAAGGTAAAGCAAACAGATGTGTCTGCTTTCAACATGAAAGGCAAAACTGGATTTTGCAGCCAGAGATGCTGACACCCTATGGTACTCACTTATTGCTGCCATTCAAGCATGCTTTTTGCATAGCATCAACAGTGTACTGAAGGAACTCGTGGGCATCTTCTTGGTTTCCAAAACGGAAGTGCCTAGCTATACCTGCAGCATGGAGGTAAAGACAAGGACTTATTACACATTACAGGTCTGGAACGCACTCCAGAGCTGTGTATTATATGTGCAGCATGCTGACTGAAAACCTATTGAGTCTTATTTACTGGGGAAACAGCTGCTCTGAGAACAGCCAGGACCATGTACTCTCTGCCATTTCTGAAAGCCTGGGGCCGAGCCATAGAATGGCTCCTGTGACTATCAAGTTAATTAAATTACACAAGTCAAAGTTAGCATTGGCTGTGTTGCCTTAAAAGTTTGTCCAAAATGTTAGTCAGTGTACACAGTGCAAACACAATGCTAGATGTCCATAAGAGAGTCCATGCAAACCATGAACTCACCCTACACCTCAGTGCTACACCAGTGACAACAAAATTATGTTCTCAGTTGCACAACATTTCAGCTCTACTGCTAACTGACTAAGCAGTTGCAAGGCCATATTATTTAAAGCCATAATTAAGAAAAACACTAACAAACAGATGAATAATATCACAATAAGACAAATTTTCTGGGTAGGAATGTGTGACACTACATATACACACAGTAGCTTGAAGCATATAAAATTGCCAATATTCTACCTGTTTTGACCTATAAAAATGGCAATTCTGGATTCAACCATGTATGTATGTTTCTGGACAGACATTTACACACAGCAGTACCACTTTAAGAAAACACTACCTGACCTGAAAACATTACTCATGGACACTATGTGTGCATGTATAAAAATAAATAGATAAGTGTATAAAAATCAAACCCTGCCCTGGTTAAAGTTTTGTTTTAAAGACTTTTGCACTATCTGTTCTGGCCTGTCAGTAATGCCAAGGGCCAGTTTGATCTTTTGTCTTTAGTGGCGTTTTAGGCAAAAGAATTCTAGTTTGTCACTGCATAATCATGCACCACTGTAACTGCCCAGCTAGATGCCCGCCCAGTTAATAAGGGTGGGTAGGGTAGTGTATCTCTATAATCCCAGCACACTAGGAGGGCAGAAGCAAGAGGATCACGAGTTCAAGACCATGGGCTACCTAGCAAGACTCTGTCTCAAGAAGTCAAGGACTGGAGGTGTGGCTGAAGCAATATAGTGCCTGCTTTGCAAATCTTGAAGCCCTGAGTTCAAACCCCAGTACTGGGAAAAAAGGAGGACTGAGGTGTGGTTCAGAGGTAGAATGTTAGCATGCATGTAAGGGTCTGGAGTCAATCCCCAGCGTATGGGGAGGAAAGTGTTAATAGGTTTTTAAATTTTGTGAGCATTTTTATTACAACTTGGTTAACTAAAGTCATATAAAAATTTACTACAAAAAACACATAGAAAGTGATTAAGAAAATTTCATGCAATCTCTAAAAGTTTAAAAAGTATATAGAAAAGGCTGGGGGTGTGGCTCATGTGGTCGAGCACCTGCCTAGCAAGGCAAGGCCCTGAGTTCAGACCTCAGTACCAGCAAAAAACAAAAGTAAAGCTTATCCCTAAATTTACTAAGCTATAATTTTTTTCTTCTCTTTTTTTTTTTGTGATTGAATCCAGGACCTCATGCAAGTTAGACAAGCACTCCACCACCTGAGAAAACCCAGAGCCCGTAAGTTCTTCTTTATAATTATATAATTATGAAGTATAATTAGCATTATCTCAAAAATTCCTATCACTCTGTATAATGTAATAGTCATTCATCAAATTAAAACTAATTTAAAAATATCTAAGGAAATCTGTGGGGCAGTATCAGAATTAGTATTACTCAGCACAAAACTCCAACTATCTGGGAAAAACCACTATAAAACTTACCAGTAATTCCATTAATGGCCAAGGATGGTGGCTAACACCTGTACTGCCAGCTAAGTGGGAGGTGGAGAATGGGAAGACTGCAGTTTGAGGCCAGACAAGGCAAAAACTAAGCAGAAACCAATCACAACAAATGAGCCAGGTGTGGTAGTGAAAGCCTGTGATTCCAGTGAGATTGTAAACCATGGGAGGATCTGAGGCCAGCCCCGGGCAAAAACATGAGACCCTACCTGAAAAAATACTAAAAAGCAAAAAAGGGGGCTGGTGGAGTGGTTCAAGTGGTAGAGCGCCTATCTAGCAAGCGTAAGGCCTTGAGTTCAAACCCCAGTACCACAAAAAAAAAAAAAAAAAAAAAAGAAGCAAAAAAGGGTTAGGGGCACAGCTCAAATGTTAGAGCACCTGCCTAGAAAGTGCAAGGCTCTGAGTTCAAACCATAGTACCACAAAAAAAAAAAAAAGATAATTTCATTAACAAATTGAGCTTTAAGTAACTTAAAATTCACTTAAACTACATACTTTCCATTATACTGTCATATTTTGTTTAAAAGTTTCAAAGTTAGTTTATAGGGTACATGTTTTATTTAAAAAATTGTTATTAAAGACATATCCATGTATGATAAAATACATGTTATTTGTTGGCTGGAGGTGTGGTTCAAGAGGGAGAGTGCCTACTTAGCAGGCTTAAAGCCCTGAGTTCAACTATCAGTACCACCAAGAAAGAAAACAAAAAACTATGTTTTTGTTTCTTGATTTTTCAGTGCTATGGATTGAACCCAGGGCTACAGTGTGCTAAGCAAGTACTGTACCACTGGAGCCACACTCACCAGTGCTTTTGCTTGTATTTTGTTTTTGAGATGGGGTTTCACTAACCGCATGGGCTGGCCTCTACCTCCTGAATAGCTGGGAGTGTAGACATGCACCATGCCTGGCTTGGGGAGTGGGGGTGGGGTGCCTGGTATTTATCACAGAGGCCATTAGGACTAACTAGCTAAGAGCCAGGTACAGTGGTACACACCTGCAGTTTCAGTCACTAAAGAGGCTGAGGCAGAAAGTTCACTGGAGCCCAGAAGTTCAAAGCCAGCCTGGGCAACATAGTGAGGACCCAACCGGAAAAAAAAAAAAAAAAAAAGACAGAGTAGGTGAGCAAGTGGTGCAAGCTAGCAGAGTGGATACTCACGGCGCATCTCGTTGATGACGAACATGGGCTTGATGACGTCACCAGGGTTACTGAGGGCTTGGGTGATGTGCGCTTGCATGGTGCACATCATGCAAAACCCTTCTGCGTGACCTGGAAGACAGACAACCATCCTCCCATCAGCACCCATGGAGGCGCCTGTGAGCGCGCGCTCCAGACTGAAATGCCAGGAACATCGAGCCTGCTTCCTTAATCATTTTCATTTCCTCATCTAACAGCTATATACTGGCTCTATCTTACAGGAGAGGAAAGGGGCTCACAGAGCTAAAAATTTGCCCAAGGTCAAATGTTTCTTATGTGGCAGACACATAACTGACCCTAATAACATTTTTCTAACTTTAGAGCATGTGCTCTTAGCTCCTCTCTATACAAGAAAAACAACAATTGTTTTCTTTTACTACCATTTGTCTCTAACAGTAAAAGAACATCTCCCATGGTGGCGGCTAGAAATCTCTGGGTAAATATGCTGGCTTTTTTGGCCACCCATAGTGGGCCCTCATTTTTTTATTTTAAAATAATTTTTTAAACGTAAACAATGATTCTTAGCTCATGTTAAGTGGTGCTACTAGCACCTGGTGGTAGTATACTACTAAATATCCTGCAATGCATGAGACACCCTGCAGTAAAGAACTACCCAGCCCCAAATGTTAATAGTACTGAGGCTGAGAGACTCTGCCCCATCTCAAGGCTGCTTAAAACCTATTTAATATATAGCTTAAAAAACCCTGAAAGGATCAAACTATGTCCAATTAACCATGCCCCACAACAAAGCTAAAATATGTTTAAAGTAATAAGAATAAATACTAACACCCAGCAATAGAAAACGGATGACGTCTGTCATCTGATTGGAATGAGGCATTCAAAGATGCAGAGGCGACCAGAGCAGGAAGAAAACAGAAGCCGATTCAGAATGACACAGGAAGTAAAAACAGAAGGCAAGGACATTCAAAAACATACTGTACACATTCTCACAAGCGCACTGCGGAGAAACACAGAAATACATCCAAGTCCACTTCTGCAGATGTACAGTAGAACCACAGAGGACTGATGAGAGATTAGACACCATGAAAGAAAATATTAGTGAACTTGAAGACATTCGTTATAGGTAGAAAATATTCAAAATGATAAAGAGAAAAGACAACCTTCAAACAGCAGCAACAAAAGGGTAAGTGGATTGTGAGCTGAAGTACACTTTAGAGCTGTACATACAGACAAGTGACTGGAATCTGAAGGTGAAGGGAAAGAAAGAACAGAAATAGTTCTCTACAAAGGGACAGTACACGGAAGGATTTTAGGGTGATGGAATGGTTTTGTATACTGACCAAGGTGAGACTGTAGTTTATGTGGATCTACAATTCAAATAAAAAAAGTTCATTTTATTCTGTCAAATATAATAATAGAAGTTTTTAAAAATGACTTGTAGAGTACTTGCCTAGCATGTGGACAGCCCTTGGTTCAGTCCCTAGCACTGCAAAAAACAAAAGCCAGGCACTGGTGTTTCATACCTATAATCCTAGCTACTTGGGAGGCTGAGATCAGGAAGATCATGGTTCAAGAGCAGCCTAGGCAAACAGTTTTTGAGACCCTCATCTCCAAAATAACCAGAGCAAAATGAACTGGAGCAAAAATAACCAGAGCAAGTGGGAGAGGACCTGCTTTGTGAACACCTGCTTTGCAAGTGCAAATACCTGAGTTCAAACTGCAGTTGCACAAAAATAATTAAATGACCAAATATTGCCCAAATTTGGTGAAAATAGTAAATGTACAAGAAACCCAGTAGCATCAAAACAAAACACATAACCACTTTTCTGGATGGGGAGAAATTATCTATCCCAATTCCTTTTTTTATTTTGGAGGGTAGGGTGGGTCTGCAGTTTGAACACAAGACTTCATACTTGCAAAGCAGGCACTTTACCATTGGAGCCACACTTCTAGTCCATTTTGCTCTAGTCATTTTGAAAATGGGTTCTCCCAAACTATTTGCCCAGGTTGGCCTTAAACTGCAATCCTCCAGATCTCAGCCTCCCAAGCAGCTAGGATTACAGGTATGAGCACCTACACTCAGCACCCCTCCCTATTCTTTCAGACAGCAAAGGGCCCTGTTAGGAGCCTGCCTTTACTATGCAAACCAACAATCCAGAGCTACCCTCCTTTACCTGGCCTGAACACCTAGGACACTATTCCTCTGCATTAGTCACCCCAGGGCCAGGCCCCAGGTGACTAAGGACCACCCCTATGGCTTAGAGCCCACTGAAACTATTCAAACTAGCCTATGCAAACTGTTCACCCAGTCCTGCCTTGCCTTTCCCATGGAAACTTCAATAAAGGTTCTGCCCTACTGTTCACCCCTCTCCCTGTCTTCTACCTCTTGACCACCTTGTGTCCCTGCCATATGGGCCTGCGTGACATGGCAGCTTCCTGTCTCCAAGACCAGTGAACATAGTCATCTTTATTGTCTGGAACCTCTCCTGTGTCTCCTCCTGAGGCTGCACCTGGCTGCGATCATGTGAAAGAACACCAAGCACAAACACACACTACAGAAGAACAAGGGCCCCACCTCTTCCCACAGCAGCAGAGGTCAAGTGAAGAGCCAGACTTCCACTTGCTGGACTATAATAAAGTACCCAACTCACTATTAGGATAGAAGGCAGATGAGGCGTGAACTTTCCAACACACTGTGTGCTCCACTGTTCCCCACCCCATGCTAGTGCAAAGGCTGGACTTCTACCCCACACCCATACCCTCCACACCTACCACACAAGGGCAGCACCAGGACCTTGCCTTTGCTAAGAGGTAGCAAAGCTACTTGCAGCTCAGTGTCAGTGAAGACACAAGGGGAGCTGGAACCTCTGCTCCATCCGCAGCAACAAGAAGTCCCAACCCAGACTGTGGATGCAATGGAGGCTGAGTGGGAACCTAGCTTCTAACTCAGCAACTTCAGAGAAAGGTAGCTGAAACAGATATATAAGACCCAGAGTCTCATAATGTAATGTAAAGATATCAAGGTTTCAATTGAAAACATCTCCACACCAAGAGTTAAGAATCTCTCAAACAAAAATTATAACTCTGCCTGATATGGTTTTAATGCATGCAGAGGAAATGTTTAAAAAAGCAAATAGGTGAGAGTGGCAACCCTACCCTGGCTACTTGGGAGGCTGAGATCAGGCGGATCACAGTTCAAGGTCAGCCCAGGCAAATAGTTCACAAGACTCCATCTCAACAGAAAAAAAAGCTGGGCATGGTGGTGAGCACTTGTCATCCCAGCTATGGTGGGAAGCCTAAAATATGAGGCTCATGGTCCAGGCCAGTCTGGGCAAAAAGTGAGACCCTATTCCAAAATAACCAGAGCAAAAAGAACAGGAGGTGTGGCTCAAGCAGAACAGTCCCTGCCTAGGAAGCACAAAGTCCTGAGTTCAAGTTCCAGTACCACCAAGGGGGAAAAAAAAATAAAGAACAGTGGTAAGTTAGCAAAAAAAGAATTCTAAAAATATATTCAAATGACAAATAGGAAGACAGGAATAACAAAACAGAGAAATGAAAAGCAAAGAGAATAAGCATTTAAAAAAATGGATTAAAACTCACTGCCCAACCATATGCTGTCTTCAAGAAACCCGGTTCTAATGCAATGATGTGGGCAAGCTGAAAGTAAAGGAGTGAAGATGTGTCATACAAACATTAATAGAATGAAAACAGAACTGTCTACTTAATATCAGATAAAGTGGACTGCAGAGCAAAGAAAGCTAGAGGGACGCTGCACAACATAAAGGGCCAACCCTCAAGAAGACATAGCAATCCTTTTTAGTTTTTTGCTTGTTTGGTTTGGTTTTTGAGATAGGATCTGGCTATGTAGCTCAGGCTGGCCTCAAACTCATAACCCTCCTGCCTCCAACTCCCAAGTGCTGGGATTACAGGTATGTGCAAACACACCGAGCACTTTTCAATGTGCTTGTACTAAACAAGAAAGCTGAAAAAATGCATGAGTCAAACTCAGATAGAACTGAAAGTAGACAAAGAAACCACATTTAGAGATGGAAACCTCAATATCCTCTGTCAGCAACTGGCTGAGCAATGCAGCAGAAAAATCAACAAAGATACAGAAGAACTTAACAATGTTATTGGCCACCAAATCTAATCAATGTTTAGAAAATGCTCCACCCAAGAGCAGAATATATATTTGCTTCAGGTGCTCACAGAACATATACTAAGACAGACCATATCCTAAGGCATGAAAGCCAAACTTCAAAAAATTTAAGAGTGTGTTCTCTGATCAGAATGGAATCAAAACTACAGATCAGTAAGGAAAAAGATAAGAAAATCCCCAAATAAATGGAAAGCAACACACCCTAAAGAATAGATGGATCAAAGAGTAAGTTTCAGGGGAGATGATAATACAATGAATGGAAAGATAACATCAAAAAAGTTGGGACACAATTAAAACAGTGCTGAAAGGAAAATTCATGACAATTACCAATATCAGGAATGAAGGTGACACATCAATATAGACCCAACAACAGCAAAAGGATTAGAAGACCAGAAATAACTTAACATGTAAATCTGGCACTATAAAAGAAATGGAGCAATTCCTCAAAAAGGCAAACTACCACAATCAAATAATGTGATTAGCCCTACACCTATTAAGAAAACTGAATTTATAGTTTAAAACTTCCAAAAAGGGTTATCTCCAGTTTCACTGGAGAATTTAAATGTCTAAAAAGGAATTAACATCAATGCCATAAAAATCTATTACAAAAAATAAAAAAGGAGTTCACATCCCAAATTCACTTCATGTAGTTATATATTAGTCTGACACCAATACCAGATAAATACAAAAACAGAATCACAGACCACTATCTCTCCTAAGTAGAATTAATATTAGCAAGTAAAAATGGGCAACATGTGAAAAAATTGGACACCATAACAAATTGAGTTTATTCCTGCCATGCAAATATAACTCAATATTATAAAGTCAACCAATGTAATTCACTATATTAATAGCCTAAAGAAGAAATATCACACTGGGTGTGGTGGTACATGCTTGTAATCCTAGTTACTCAGGAAATAGAGGCAGAAGGATGTGAGTTTGAAGTCAGCCC